GGCTGGTGGTAGTACTGTGGTGTTCACCAGACAGCAGCTAAAATTAGTTTTTTTTTTTTAAAAATTATGAAAACCAAACCATCTGCTTAGTATCAGTGTCTGTGTCAGGAAGAAGGTCCTCTTTGCCATTCCCTGTTGCAGAACCATGTTGAAATCAGTAAACATTGGGCAACTTTGAACCATCAGGCAAACAGTTCTCCGCAGCGGTGTTACACACAGAGCTGCCAGCACATCATGTGTCCTGCGACTTAAAGCACATCAGAAGGATCAACAGAGCTGCCTGGTTATGGTGTAAAGTTCACTTCCAATTTTATGTGAAGAATCATTGTGATTTTATTCAAGCTAGGAAACCTTGGGAAGAAGCTGTGAAAGGGAACATCAGTCACAGTATTTTGTCCAGAGCTTCACCAGCTATCACACCTATGCTTCATCACCCACCCCATAGATCCATGTCAGTTGTTTCACCCTAATTCTGCTGCTTGGTTCCAACTGCTCCTTCTGCAGTTAACCACAGCTGCTCTTCAGATGTTTTTTAACATAAACTGCAGAATGGTTTCAAATGGAAATTTGGAAAAAAAAAAATAACATGGAGAGTCTCCTGGAATAAAAAGGCCCCTGTTGAGTTAACAAGGCTGTGGTTAAGGAGAGGAAATTAGCTCCTCAGTTTAGCTTTGTTTTGAGTAGGGCCTGTCAAATTCTATTAAAAAAATTATATAATATTCCCTCCCCCAACCCACTTATACTAAAATAAGTTTTCAAATGAAAATTTGTTGTGGAAGGCTGTTTTTCTCAAAAATCATTAACTTTTTGATCGGAAAATTTGTTTGTTTGTTTTGGTGCTGGCCACAAAGCTGCTTTTTTTTTCCTTGACTTTGATAAAAGCTCAATGTTTTAAACAACGAAATCCTGCCATTACTCCTCTTAGCTTTTTTTTTTGTGCCAGGTGCAATTGGAGGCTCTCCCTAAATAATAGTTATCACAATGATGATGACTCCACAAGGTAAAGTCTGCCCATTTCATGAATGAGCCCAATTTTTATTTCTCTTCATCACAAAAGTCATCCCACATTTGTTGTACACACTGGTGGTTGCTGTGTTACGGGACATATCACCATGTACCAGATGCTTTACTCTTGCAGAAGCATTTCTAATGGAGATGGAAGCTTCTGTTAGCTGAATTTTAGAACAACAGCAAAAAATAATAATACAAAACCAAAATATAATCTCCAGCTGCATAGCAAATATGGATCAAAAATTTAACACCATATCAGATCACGAGCGTAAATATACCTCACTATAAATAAAATTCATTGTACAAAATAACTCAAGCAGCTTTTCATACAAATATGGTACATTTGACAAGAGTTTTTGAGAATATTTTCTTGGTTTTTTTACACCTTCAATTCTTTTTTTCTTTTGTTCTCAAACACCCATGAACCTACTGGACTGGAGTAATGCAGGAGAAAAAGGACTAACATGGTCAATGCTAATAAGTGCTGTCAGAGTTTAAAAGGAAAACTACTGAAGTGCTGAGTTTGAAACTAGTTTGCTTCCCCTTTCTATTCTATCATTGAAAATCAAGTGTAGCATCATCCAGGAAAGGCATGTGCACTGCCAACAGTCACATTTTATAATGTCTAAGCTGGAGGGAACATTAAAATAACCTAGTCTGACTTCATTCATGACACAGGCCATCCTTTCTTCCCCCTGTAATTCCTGTATTGAGCCAACAACTTGTCTTTGAAGTGGACATTCCAAGTGGTGGCTGGTAAATCCCAGAGAGTTTGCATACTACTTCAGAGTAAGCAGGAAAATGTAGGTAAAAAAGCAAGTCTGCAGTCAGTGGACTTAAAGTATCCAGACAGGGGTCCAGATTTCCCTAGGGAAGAAAAAAAATTGTGGTCTGCAGATTGTAAAAGGCTGAAAACTGTAGGATTAGAGCACATCTGCAAGGAGACCCCCAAACTTGGCAGAAAGTCTGCAAGTGTGGAGAATATGCCTGACCCTGTGTCAATCTGGTACTGTTTAGCTTCACTGTTACAAATGTGCTCCCTATTTCCATTAAAAAGTTATGACATTAACAAAAGGACAGGAGGGAAAAAAAAACAATCCATTTTTCATGGAGTTCTTCAAAGACCTAAGCCTGGACCTCTTTCTCATACACAGTCAAGGAGGGTTAGAGAACTGAAGTTAAAGACTATTTGCATCCTTTAGATAATAAAAGGACAACAACATCAAATCTCAGAAATGAAGACCATAAGACTATTCCTAGCTGATATCTCGTACTACTTGAGTAACAAGGCAAAACATCTGCATACACTCTACAGCCAAAAACACTTTACATTTTGTTCATGCACTTTGGACATTTTGCTCAAAACATTTAATCCCTTGGAATCTGAAGGGATTTTACATTTTTTTGCCAGCAAATTTGAGGGCAACAAATAGATTCCATCTACCTGTTTTTTCAAACCCTGCAACTGTGTTTTGCAGGGTTTCAGAGAATTATGATGGCAAAACTACAGCAAAAGAATGCAAAGGGATATTCATGTTTAGGTAAAATATCTCATGACTCACTCCAGACCTAAACAGATGAAAACAGGCATTTAAATTGACCTTACCATATCCTCTTTTGTCTAGGTAGCCGAGACTGGGCCATGTGGTACAGTTCATCCTTCTGTAGTAACTCTTTGCTCATGCTGGTTTCTGAGAAGACTCCAACACCCCATAACGTGTCAGACGCAGTAGGACGTTTAATTTGTGCTGTGCCCAGAGGTGGCTCTGAGAGCCACACATGGGCTTGGGCCACCTTTTCAGCAACACTTTCATACCAAAATAACAAGCACTTACTATTTAGGTCAGGAAAAATAGGAACTTAGTTGGATCTATCTTCCTTGTATCTCATTTCCACAAAAAATAAAGTGCTTGATTCTCCTCTTCCTTTTAAAAATATATATCTGTAGATACCCTTGCTCCAGTAGCGCAGATGTGTTGGAACATGATGGAAAACCAGAACTGACATCCTTAGTGGAAATTAGAGTAAGAGCCCTGCAGTGTCACTGAGTCCCAGATGCTCTTCTGCTGCTCTTCCTTGCAACACGGAGGAAACACCTCGCCGTGGCGGGCTGGGTCCCCCCCTGCCACGCAAAGATTTCAGCCAGACTTCCTGAGATTTCATTTTACTTTCAAATTACTCTGCTGCACAGTTTCCTCCCTGCAGTTTAAATGTCTGTCTCAGTAATTAAAGGAAACTCAAGGTGTGAAGCTGTCCAGCTCTTTTCACCTGTGGGGTATTTCTTGATTATCAGGGGAGTAGGTGGGGAGTGTCTGGGAGAACAAACTCATCCCACCCAGCAAGATCTCCTCTTGTTAGTAGTAGTTTGCTGTCTGTTGCTTCCTAAGACAAAATACTCCAGCTGGGACATTTCTACTAATTAATTAAATGTTCCCTCTGAGAGAATAAATGCCCAGGCTCTACCTTTTTAACATCTGTAATAGCATGCAGCTTACAAGGCATGATGAAATGCATGAAAGGAATATATATTATCACATCTGTATACTGTAACAGCAATTATCTGCTGTGACCCGGCTAAAGCTGAGAAATATTGCCAGTGGCAAGGCTAGTGTAATTTTCTCTTGGAGCATGTGGTTTGATCTCCTTTAACTTCAATTGTCTCACTTCAGTGACACTACTGAGGGGAAGCCGGGAAGCCGGTGAGTTATGAAATCCTCCTTGAAGTTCCTACTGAATTTGTTCTCAGTATCTAGGGATCAGGGATTAGCTGAGTGGGAAAATGAAACTGACTCCAGTGTTCCCTCTAAATGCCTTTAAACCTGGAAAATTCTGGGTATTTTTTAGTGCTCATCCTGTTTTTTTACCTCTTCTAAGCAATCACATCATCTCTGAGTGATGGGAAGTTTCCTAAGCCCTGATGATAGTCACCATTCTTTGAAGGAAGATATATGGTTGCTGTGCTACTAAGAATTTGTCTAAAACAAAGGAAAATAGCATCCCAGAACATACACAAATTACACATCTTAGCTCTTACCCTTGGCTGAAGATCAAAGATCACATATATTCGAGGTAACTACACCTGCCTCCTGTCAGGACCAGTGATTATTTCCACACAAATTAATACGTACAAGAGCATGTGCACATGAAGGCAGGCTCTTCTGTAGTGGAAATCCCATTTAGTCCATGGGTGATGTGTCTTCGGGAGAGAACCTTTGCATTAAAGTGGGTGTCCCATGGCAGGGAAAAAGCCAGGCTGTTTTCTCTTTCCTCAGCTCTCTGAATTGCTGAGGCGTTATTTGGCGACTACATCATTGCTATTCTGAAACCCATGTGCCAAAGCTCCCTTTAACAGGTGCTAGAAAGGCCAGTGATGCGGCAGATGGCATGACACTAGCCCCAGCCTGGGGCATGCAGCCATCCAGGACCAGCCCAGTGCGGCTCCTCTGTGCCCATCACTTGATCCTCAGGGTGCTGCCAGAGGTGGCATACTGCCTTCATCCCTTCTTCCTCCTGAAGAGTGAAATCAGTGGCTTGTCTTCAGCCCCTCCTGCTCCATAGCTGGTGGCAGGTGTCACTGGGGGTGTTGATTTGTCCCTCTGCGGTGGGAGTGGGCTCTGGGTGCTGTGAAAGCACAGAGCTCTTCCACCAGGGCCCCCACGTTTGGGGCTGCAATATGGCTTCAGAGTGATGTGTTCGATTGGATGAATCAGAGGGAAAAACCGGACCACTTCATGGAAGAAAAGCACATTTCACCCGCCCACCCCCACCCACCCCCAAGTTTGAAAGCTACAAGAAAAACCGATCATGGGGATGGTACAGAGGAACATGCACTCAAACAGGGCTGGATGGGAAGATGCGTCCTCGTGTGTCGTAGGCATACCCAGTCTTGCTTTGTTGCCAGGTCTCATGCCATCAAGCTTACCCCTCTCCCAGGCATTCTGGGTTCAGTCCTTTCTCCCCTCCCAACCCGTGCGGGGTCAGTGTCCACACTAGCAGGTGGTGGCCAGCGACTGGTGGATGGGGGGCTGGAAGCAGCGCACGTGCTCCACTGTGGAACTGTCTGTTTCCACCGACTTCATGTACTTGTTCAGGATGGCAAAAATCTCATTGTTCAGAATCTGATACTTCCTGATCCTGTCAGCCATCTTCTTCAAGGGCTAGAGGGATGGTGAGGAAGAAAAGCAGCAGATGAAGAGAACCTTATATCATCTGACCAGCGAGAAAGTACCAGTACCTCTGCCCTGCTGCTGGAAACCTCTGCTAAAGCAAAGCAGCTATAACCCGTGTTACAGTTCCACTTAGCACCTCCCAGGGACTGGTGACTCACTTCATTATAGGGTTTGATGACTCAATCAGAGCATTAACAAGGTCAGCGTGTGGTCCTAAGTCAACCATTCTAAAGTCTAGACTCCCGGCTGCTTATCAATGAAGCCACTGAGATCACAGGATGGTTGCTGGAAATACCTGCTTCTCTGCTCCAGCTTCCCAGCCCCAGGAAGAAAGAAAAACCTTTGGGAGAAAAAAAGATTCGCTTGCCAAGCCAATTAAAACCTTGGCCTCTCTGCTGAGACTGTAGATGGAAATCTCACAGCGAGTGTGTCCAGTCTGAATAAGGTTAACACTAGGAATGGCTGTAATTTATGAGTTTGGACAAAACAAGACAGAAAACAGAGAAGTATGCTGGTTCAGGTCCTTTGGGACCTCACTATTCAACTTACCACATTTTTTATTATTTCATCCTTCCCGTCCTGCCTCTGTACCTTCAGCAGGTGGTAGCAGAAGTCAAAGAGGTCAAAGCGCCGTTGCTGTCCAAGGAGAACAATGATAGAGCAACCTGCCCAGTTCAGACCATCTCCAAAGCACTGCCTGGAAGGAGGACAGGGTGATGGGGTGGGGAGAGATGACAGGATAGAGTTAGGTAAGAGAAGTCCTACCATGGCACCAGGAACTTTCCTTGGTGAATTCCTAGGGAAATCAGATTCAGTCCTACTCCTAGAAAGTGGCTGTACACCTACAGAAAATGAACTCAGGAGGAGATATACAGAATTACACCAGGTCCAGGCTGTGTAGGGTGTGTCACAGGCTAAGATGGATAAGGACCTAGCCTCTGACTTGGGTTGTTGGCCCATCTGCCCATCTCCTTCTGCATGTCACCTTGGGCATGTCCCTTTACGTTGGTCTTTTCCCCAGCTATTCAGATAGAAAGCTCTCTGGGCATCTCTTTATGTCCCTGCCCAACAGAAGTCCTTTCATCAAGGGCCCATGTTTCCCCTCTACCCTGGCTGACGCTGTTGCTGCAGCCGAGGGCATCCCGGGGGCTTGCCGGCCCCAGCAGCTCATGAGCAGCATTACCAGCAGAGTCGGCCGATAGACACTCACTCTGCAGTGAACTCGTTGGTGCCCACGGGGATGCAGTACACGAACTGCATGGCACTCCAGAGCCGGTGGAACTCCACGCACTCGTCCACGTGCATGACCCCGTTGGTCGGAGGTGGCCCGCGCCAGATGGGGTCCTGCAGGTAGCTCCGAATTCGCGTCAGGATCACCTCGAACATGGACAGCCCGCAGCATAACCGCTCCTTGGTCAGCAGGTCACCCTCCCGGGCGATGGCTATTTGCTGAGGAGGAGGACAACCAAAGGAACAGAAGTGACGATGTAATACCGGCAGACCCTCTTGCTGGACTTAATGCTTCCCGGTCTCCCTGGCTTTCAAAGTTAACGCACATCCCCTGCACGGTCCAACCTTACCTCTGATGGCTGCTCCCATGGCACTCCCCACCAGAGAATATTCATCTCTCAAACGGAGGAAGACTTAATATTGTGCTCAATTATATTTCACCAACCTAAGTATCTTTTGAAATAACTACAGATGTCACAAAACAAAAGTTGAAGGCAAAGCTCTGATCAGAAATACTGATCCTTAATTCTGCTAGGATGCTCTGATCAGAAATACTGATCCTTAATTCTGCTAGGATGCTGTTTTATTAGCGCTACTCAGCATTGCTGGGTTTAATTTCATTATTTCTGCAGATTATGAAAATAAAACAGGAGAGAACAGGGACATTTTGCTTCCCAGGACATTGCTATCATCTCTTTAAAATGTAGATATTCTATGGCTTTCTTGATTTCTTTTGTAGTTAGGGTTCAAAAGCTCTGAGGAAGATGAGAAGCCACCGGAACCTTAATACTGGAAAACCTGTGGTTTATGAGAAAGTCAAATAATATTTTTTTTCCAGATAAGGAAGCTTTACATGTGTGGAGATTTTCTGTGACATCCCCACTCAGATGCAGTTCATTTGGCTTTTACACTTAGAGGAAAATTAAAAGAGAACTGACTTCATTTCAGCCCCATGGCTCCCCCAGAAAAACCAAAAAAAAAGGGGATTTTAAATGAGCAAGCATTTAAGCACGAGCCTCCCCCTGGCATGGGAGCACTGACCCCCTGAGCGGGGCTGGGGTGCAGGCGGGGAGTTTCCTCCCTGCCCCGATATCCTCTTGGCTGCCCCATTTCCTGCCATTCCCAGCGGCATTGCTGACTTCTCTTTGCAGCGCTGCCAAAAATAACACGGGCAATGGGAGCTGAGTGCTGTCAGAGTCATGCCAGTGGCTGTGGGAGGCTCCGGCTCTGCTCACCCCAGTACAGGAGCGGCTGCCACGGCCCCCTGGCCCCCCATGCAGAGCCTTTTACCCCGCTCACCACTTTGGCAGAGGCATGCAGAGCAAGCATGACATTTACTGACCCGCTGCCTGTCCTAGGGGACTTACTGGAGCTTTAGGTAGTTTTTAAGCATTTGCTCCATTTCCAGCTGTCTGTGTAATGCCTATAAAATCGCCATCCTGATTGGAATCACGATGGGGGCTCAGAGCATCTGGTACACCAGGCAGGTGTGTGTCCTGGCCAGACATTAAGAACACAAATTATGCTCAGTTTACTTGGGTTGTCTTTATTCCACTCTAAAGAAACATGAATGTGCCTGCACATCCTCTTTCCTGACTGTTAGTTTATGCTGGCAGCAACCTAAAGCTAAAAATTAGTTTGGTGGCTATTGAAATTACAAGTGTTACAATTCCTGCTTGTGCCACAATTCCAAGGACATTCTGGGAACCTGGGATCAATTAATGTTCAACTAGTAGCAAATATCAAGGGAAATCTGTACTGCTGTGCAGAGGCCAGATTGGGTCTGGGATCCCTAGATCTGTTAAACACAGGAATGGTATCACTGGTTTCATGGCACGCACTTCCATGTGTTTGCTTAGCAAGTAAAGATTTATTTTATCCAGCTTGTTTGTATAGCTAAAGGCTGTAAGCTTTGTCTCTCCTCACCTGCTGCAAGCTCTTACGGGTACAGATTAGCATCTGCACACACTAGTCTATGATGGCAAAACAGGGACGCAGTAGCAGTAAAGCCATTTCAAATATAAATTGGGTGTTAGCATTACTGTTTGCTAAGATATAGTGATAGAATAGGTACTTCTGAGAACAAACTAGTCCAATGACATTAGTATACTGTTTCTGAAGAAATCTTAATCTAGAAAGGGATGTATCTGGCTTTCAAAGCATGCAGTGCCACTCAGTTATGCACATTCACAGACAGAATTTGGTTCTAAAATTCATCACCAGTCTTTGATACCAGACTATTACTGTTGGGTAGATACCTAACATGGTGAAGGCAGCTGGAGAGCTGTTAGTCTTGTGGCCAGATCCGCCTCACAGTCTGATGTCCCACTGACTTCTAAGGTCAGGAGAAGAAGGGTGCTCTCGAGATAAATTGTCAGAGGATGCCACTGTGCTGGCTCAACTATTCCTTCTGTCTTCAAAAGGAAAGGCTCCCATTATTTCCAGTGAAAAAATCAGACTGACCAAGCAATTCTGAAAATCCCTTACTGAACAGCCCTATGACCAGCATTAAAAGGGAGAGGATTCCTTTAATGAACCACTTGGACCCCCCCTGGTTCTTTATGGATCACCTGTCAAACAGCTGCTTCTGGATTCCCACTGCAAAACAATTATTTACAACAGTCACTGGCAGTTTTCCTGCCATTGCACAAATCCAGTTGTGTCATACCTCTTTTACAGCTCGTGAACTGGCAAGCTTGCAAGAACCATACCCAAAGCCTGCAAAGACTGATAGATCCCCACCAACTACAGCAGCCTCTGGCTCAGCCCCTTCACAGCAGGTAATTATATGAAATGCATGGGGCCACCTTTTGGGAGAGGCATCTGGGAAGCAACTTCTGCTCAGATTCTGGACAATTTCTAAAAGGCACTTATGCGTTCTGTAGGAAAAAATCCCGTACGGCCTGTGTCCAAAACTGCATTTCCAAAATGCATGTCCAAAACTGCATAAGGAGCAAGCTTAGAAGCTATGGAGGCACCTATGGAAATTGACTCTTGTGTTCATTTACACCTGAGCTCAAAAAAGATCTGGTACTCAACCGTACCTGTGCAATGGGAACAGTTTACAGAAAAATTAATTTTTAGCAGGACATGAAATACCTTTTGTTTTCATCACCATCATAACTATAGCAGGGATAAGCAACGAGTGGACTCTAATAGCAGATTTCAATGATGATTTTGCATGGAAAGAAGGAGAGAGAGAAAGACCAACACAAAGACACAAAAACACAGAGGTGAATTCTTTTTCTCGAGTGTCTCCTTTAAAAGGAAGTCAATGAGAAGCGATAGAAGTGTCTACAAAGTAAGACAAAGCCCTCAGTTATCCAGCCAATTTCTTTGTTTCATATGGTTTCCAATGAAGCAAAGTTCAAAATGTCCTTGATCCATCAGAAAAACAAGAAAAAAAATAAACAACTTTCTGCCTGCCATAGATCTGTCACCTCATACAACTGAGTGCTCATTCCATTCCCTTGGCCATACATTACAGGAAAAGGGTCTTGATTCATTTAATACTTTGAATTATTTTTATCTCATCCACTAGGTAGGCAGTGAAAGTTTGGCTATTGATATCAATGGAGCTCAAATTTTGCCCATGACAGTGATGAGTCTACAGAGATGTTTTTAACACTACTCAGTTTCTGCCCAAGAGATCTTTCCCAAGCTGAGACCCTCCTCAAGAAGACAGTTAAATGGAGCCATAATTTTAAGCGTGTGCTGAAGCTCTAAGCACATGCTAGGAGGGAAACCATTCTCAGATGTATTCCTTGACAGGGATGAGCTTAAAAATGGACCACATGGCAGCCCTAAAATGGGATCCCGAAAAGTGACAGCAATTGATTAAGTCATGAACAGCCCTGCAAAGTTTTTCCATGAACCAGACATTCTCCATCTTTTTAACATGGAGAAGAGTTTTTTAGAGTTGTGCTTATTCAGCCTATAGCTCCCCGCCAGCTCTTGGACCAGAGGCAGCAACACACCATCTCTGGACCCACTCACAAACTTCCCTTCAAAGTGTCTGCTAGGGCAAGGATTCTGATTTTCTTGTCTGATTGATGTTTTGACAAAAAAAAAAAAAAAAATCATTTTCCCAAGGCCAAACAGGCCATCTGGGGACTGCTATGAATTTCCAACAGCCATCCCTTTCAATGAAATCCTTACCTGCGGAGTGCCCAGCCTCTCTATTAAGGGAACCAGGTGAAGTGGGGCATACTTGGCTTCGAGACGCTTCATGCGCACCTCCAAGCGTTCTCCTTCTGTCAAGCGAGCAGCAAACAGTGAAATGAGAGGAGGAAGTGGAGACCCGCCATTTCCGCCTCGGAGCTGCCCCCCAGCAACCATCCAGCCAGATTTTGGGACCAGCGAGCCAAACCGACAGCACATGAGGGGACCGGCGATGCGCAGAAGGGAGGGATGTGCGGTTGCAGTCTCAGCAGCAGCTTGATCACACATGTCCAAAAGCATGGCCCTGTTACTGATCGCTCCTGGTGAGATGGACGCTTCATGCTGTCATTCTCTAAGAGGCTGTGAAATGAAAAACCTTAACGGAACCCCCAAACTCACTAAGGTCTTGGTCTGTAACTAGGCTACAGAAAACGCACCCTTGGCATTTGTTTCCACCTGACTTTTGGCTATATCCACTTATCTGTCTGGAGGGGGAAGCAGGGTCAGAACTAATCATCAGAAATGGGAGAGAAACAGGTTCTGGGCAGAGACCTCTGGGTCTGTCCCCTGCTTCCCTCTCAGCTTCTTACCTTTGATGTAGACCCTGGGCAAAATATTTTGGAAGGGAGCAGCATGCAGCAAATCACAAACTTCCTCCTGGGACTGAGGCAGGAAGAAAGAAAGATAAAGTAAGTTAAAAAATACCTACAGGGGTTGAGTGTATGGCTCAGGGGCCTGGGCGATGCTACAACAATTCACGTCCACAGCACCTATTCAATCCAACCCAGCTCTACCAACTCCAGTGGTCTGAACCTAAATGAACTGAAACTGGAACAAATACCTCTCATCTTAAGCCAGGAAGTTTCCTTAACTCAAATAAGTTACTTGCTGCCTGTACAAGGCCAGAACTTTATTTTCTGTCCCACTTACTAGCACCATAAGTGAGAGGGGAGAGAGAACATGGAGGTTTGGGTTTCATCCTACCCTGCTGATTTCCTGCTGTTTATTTTTACAGAGAGTGCCCAGGTGGAAATTATCCTTTGGCTTACTTGTTTGAGGATGTGTACATGTAAAATATGCTGATGCATGGCTCTGTTGCAAATAGGTACATAACATAGGTCTGAAATGATTTGGTTGTTCATATGGAGTTCTCAGCCAGTGCTATCAGACCAGAACCCCAGTGGTGTAGGCACCAGGGAGAATAATACAGAGGTCCAGAGAGGAATAACATCATGAGATGCCACCTGAGAGAATGCATTCTGATGCACTTGAGAAAAAATAATCCCAAACACAGATGCACAAGGAGGAGAAACCTAGAAATAGGCAGGTGGAGACTGAGGAGTGATGGCCGACAATACACCGTGTACGAGTCTGCAATGGGAAACAGCAGCAAGGAAACCAAAGCTGTTCAACACAGAGGCATTGCGTCACAACAAGGCATTCGTTTGCTCCTACAAAGTCCAGTTCTAGGACATGCTTTCAGTTCTGAGCTTATTGTAGAGATTTAGACACACTCGAAAGCAGGTCATGACAGCGCAGCAAAAAATATTTGGGGGCCAGATGGAATGAGTCGGCTGGGTCTGTTTGGGATGCAGGGGTGGAAACCCCACCTCCCAGTCACGAGGGAGAGGACAGTGTAGCATGGAGCTGCACGAGGCTGGACTGGCGCATGGATGCTGGGATGAGAGCGAGTTTGTGGGAGTGCAGTTTGTGACACAGTGCTGGAGAGACAGGAACAGTCCAGGGTCTCTCCATGGGCAGACAGATGCTGATGCTAACAGAGTGTGCCTGTCAGCTTCGTTATTTTGTTTGCAAAACACTATTTGCTCCTAGACAAATGTTCTTTCACTGCTGTTTTCCTGTGATAAGAATAGTATTTTCACCATCTGCAGCCTGCATTCACCTGATATCTGTCCCCAAATTAGTCATGTTATTAATAGATCTTCTCCCCAAGGCCCATTACCTGAGAGTAAGAATTCTGTTTAGAAATTCAGTCCCAAGTAACCCCTCATTCCTCAAATGTAAACAATGAAAACGGGGTGGAATGGAGGAGACCATGCATCTTCACTGGAGAGGTCTCTGCCAGCAAATACCGCCAGCCTTAGATCATTCTGACATCTATGAAGATAACTGCACCGTAAAATGCTGCATAAGAGCTCCATTAGAGGGAAAATCTCGTAACGTGATGGCTCGACTCATCTGACATCTTCCAGCGAGAGAGAAGCAGTGCCTGCTGCGTGCAAAATGGCTTCATGTTCTGAGTCTATTTCTGTGTGGAAAAACTGGGGCTCAGAGATGGACAGACTTTGGCTGACACAGAAAGTGCGCAGATGTGGACTTTGATGGGCAGCCTTCCTAAAGGGACCCCCAAATTCTCACCATCTTCTTTTCTTTATTTTCTGCTATTCTAAAATGCCAGTATAGTGCTGATGTACAGCTCCTGGGACGGGAGGAACATTTTTGCACTGAAATGCAAGATTTCTAAAAGAAACCACTGTTGTGTACCTTCAGTGTCCATTTAAAGGGGGGACAGAAGAGGCAAATGCAGTACATCCAGCATAAAGTCCAACACTGAGAACAGCAGAAAGCAGTGACAAAGCCACAAAAGGAACAGAAACTGCCAGGATATTGTTGGCAACTCTGGTCATTCTATAAAATAAAGCCAAGCTGCTCGGTGATATTAATCTCTCTAGTTTTCTTAATCTTACACAACCACTGCTCACTGAATGTGTTTGATACACTATATCAGGAATGAAAAGTTTCTGTATCTGGGGTTAAAATGCAAACTCAAGGGCAAAAATATCCATTTTGAAGAAATGCAGAGATTTTCAGTTTTCTCTGTGCTTGATGGTTGGATAAAACTTGGAATCTTTGAACTTCTTTCTGGTTTTGCTCTGAACAAAACTTTGCTTGGAAATCCCATCTTATGCTAGGGATGTCTTTCTGAAATATTTCTGGAAAAACCGAAACAAGCCTGCCAAAACCACTACAACATGAAATATACATTTTTAATGTAAAATTGTGTTGTTGAACGCTCCTCAGTTGGCTCAAGGCCAAACTGGGAGATAAATTCATTACAAAGTAAATTTATTGTGTGAAAAACTAGAAGCTAAGAAGATGTGTGGCCCTCAGCTGTAGCCTTTGCCTTATACCACATAGGGCATCGCATCAGCTGAGAGACTTGTGCATGTGCAAAACGCTTGTGCAGGGGGCAATCCCAAGTCATCACTCCAGCTAAGTTTTCAGTGAAGACAAGTCATAGGACATATATAATCAGCTCTCCTGAGATTTCCCTCCTGTTGGATTGCTTTATCCTTATCACCATTAGAATCAATCAGGTTTTTTTTCATTGCACTGGCACCCCAAAAGAGCAAAGGGCTCAAATCTACTTCTCACTGTACAAATATGTATATAAAAAGTATTGATCCCTGCCCCAGAGAGCTTACAATCTAGAAATAAGCTCCAGTTGGTTTTATTTCTGAGAAGGATGACCAAGGGTTAGCTTTGGGTCCAAGAATTAAATCTAGATCTTCCAGTATTTAGATTCTCCTTCCGCAATCTCAGATGTCAGTGACCAAGTGCCAGTGCACAGCATCGCCATGGACATGCCCACAGACCGCAACAACACAGCCCCAGAGAGACCCTGAGCACATGAGAAGCTGGAAAGTAACACTTCCCAAACTCTTCTGCTGGAGAACCCACTTCCACTTATGCTCTTGAGCTGGCCATTTCAAGTACAATCTGTTGGTGCAGGGGGTTTTGCCTTACCAAAGCCTGCTCGATAAGGAGGCAGAAGAGAATGGCATTGCCCACTTCTCTGAGGCTCTGGAACACATCAGTCTTCAGCTCTGCATACTCAATGATGTCCTTCAGCTGATGGTGGAAAAACTCCAGGATTCCTTAAAAGACAAGGAAGGACAGTCAGAAAAGCAAGAGCAGAATCACTCTCTGATAACTTGGATAAAAAGACAATTACTGCCTGGTATTTCCTTAATCACACATCGCAAGCTGTAACTGCTAAACGGAAAAATGGAGACTGGCACTGGGGAGAACTAGCACACAGTGTCCTATCCTGCTTTCAGTAACCCTTGGGAAATAGGGAATAATTAATATGAAGTCCTTGGATTTCCTAATCAGAGGAAAAAAGAGATTCAGGACTGTAACAGATGCCTTGGTGCTGGCTCATGTACACCAGCCAGTTTCCCCATCCAGCTCAACGGCAGACTGCAGTCACATTGCAAAAAAATCTTTTCATCAACTAAGTAGAGTTTTTGAAAAATAACAGTGAACCCATAATAACAAAAGCTTACCAAATTCTGAAAACAAAACAGAAGCTATCAGCAGACATTCCCTTATCAGCCATCTGTGTGCTCAAAGGGAAATTTACAACAGGAGATTTCCTGGAAAAGTTTCCTATAGGTGTTCCAGTTTCAACAGCATGAAAACAAAACAGAAGCTATCAGCAGACATTCCCTTATCAGCCATCTGTGTGCTCAAAGGGAAATTTCCAACAGGAGATTTCTGGAAAAGTTTCCTATAGGTGTTCCAGTGTCAACAGCAAAGCAGCTGAAAACACGTCTTGGCAAGCCTGGCTGCACGTTGCACTGGCATGTCAGGTGCCAAACCTTGTTTAATTACGAGTGTGTGCCTGAGTAGATGCTGTACCAACACGTGGGTGAGCTCTTGCTCAAACCATTATGCATCTGCCTGGAGCACCCACCTGGAGAGCCATACTCATGTCTTGGCAAGCGGCAGATCTTGGGCATTACTTCGATCAGAGTCTTCACGTACTGCAGGATGGTGCCTTGGAGCTGTGGAGACAAAGGGAGGTTAGGCTGGAATGACTGGCTTTGCCTGGCGTTGGTTTTGAAAGGGAGCTGGTTGTGGATGGATCCACATCTGACAACACAGGATGAAACTTTAGCTGGAGTCCAAGAAGAACTTGCTTAATTTGGATTTCACCCAAATATAAAACTCAGCCCAAGCGTATGGAGTTAGAGTGCTTTTACAGCTTCCTCCCAAATAATAAATCACAGCTGCATGGATTTTCCACTTCAAAATACAGCTTGCTGTGTTTGCATGGTTTGCAGCTGAAATCCAAACAAGGCTCAGTCTTAGATCCAGCTGGACTTGTGTTCCTAACCCAAAAAGCTGTTAAAGGAGTCCTTCCCCACTACAGGAAATGCTCCTTCCACCTGAGAAATGATTACGAGCTACTTAGAGTTTAAAAAAGATTTCACATGCATGTGGAAGAAGTTTCTGCAGATCGGATGTTTTGAACTAATATAGACAAAAGCAAAGTATATTTCTTAGTTAAAAGCGCCTGCTGTCACTTGGAGTTCTACACCTGCATCCTGCAGATACATTATACAGGATTATGCACTAAATGCTACTTAGCCTAACACAAAATCTTCGTCTTTGTGCTGAACGCTGTCTGATCTTGCGCAACAGCTCCAGCATTTTCAGCTAAGTGACACAAATTACATCTTCAGTAACTATAGGGAAAGTGGATATATGCTTGAGATTTTCAGTTTTACATTGCTTTGTTAGACAAGTTCAAAATGACATCATTGCAGTCAAAACAGAATTTAAATATTTATAATGAATGAAAATTGCCTCTCCAGTAAAGCAGGGGTTTTAGCAGAAAAGCATGACTTGAAAAATTATCCATTTTTGCACACTGCCTCCCCGCTTCTTAATGCTCTGTACTGCTAGTGCCCTTGGGGAGCACATGGGATCATTTCCCTGAGGACACCCCATTTCTCTTCTTAAAAAGAAGAGAGCACTAGAAAGTAGACAGGGCTATTGGCAGCCTGGCTTCAGAATACCTGATGGAAATGGACAGTGTGGCTTGAATAAGGACTCACCTATGGCAGGAATTTTCTTATAAAGACTCAAAAGGTTGGTTTCATCAGTTTTGCTGCCTGCTCTCTACCTTCCTGCAGCTCTCCAGGGGTATCACAAAGCAGTGAGACAGTGCTCTTGTGCTGTGCCATGTCCCACTCGATCACTTCCCAGTGGCTTTTAGCCAAGCAGCAGCCAACTCCACCACCCCCAGATGGAGGTGGCTGATAACAGTTCACACTTCGAGATGGTGGAAACGCTCCATCATCCCACAGGAATCAGTGAGATTCCTCAGCAACAGTGAAAATCAGCCCGTTAACACAAGTGTTTCAGTGTGGATCAAGGGACACGAAGGTGCCCTATGTGAATGCCCTGAACCCAAAGCCCAGCTGACTGCCCAACCTGCGCCTCTCAAGATATTGAGGTTTCTCCATCGCCAGGGTTAGGATGAGAATTACCAGGCTCTTGACGATCTTCAGCAGCTCTTCCATGACCACTGCGATGCCTTGATAGCCAAGAAGCCTGCAGATCGTCTTGAAATGAGGTGGCCCCACAAAATTGCGGTAGGAGCTATAGATGTGACTGTAGGCAATGTTGAGAGGCTAAGAAATAAGAAGCACAGGAGCATTTACCAGACCTGTAAGTAATTCTCTTATCACAGTATTATGTTCCATCACATTAAATAATTTTTAAGGAAGAGACATAGAAATAATATCCTTGATAATTCCCATTTCTTCTAATTCTTGTGGCAAAGAGGAGATTGCTTTTCTTCCTACATAGTCAGATATATTCTAATCTCAACACACTGTCACGTCATGAGGTTTATTATCCTGCTCTGTAGCAACGTCACTTTCATTTCCAAGGTAATTTACTCTCCCATACATTTCCACTCAAGGATTTTAGTTCACTGGCCCTTTGCCTCTTCAAATCTGAATTCTTCTGCACTAAAATGAAAAGCTGTATATACAGGCAACGAGAGTTGTTTGGTTTTTTTTTTTTTTCTATGGGCTCTTGTTTTAAATGAAGCTTATTAGGAAAAGTAAGATCTACAGCATCTGAGCTTAAGAGCAGTTGGAAGAGAAACAGAAAAGATCCTTTTTGCATCCAGTAAAGCTCTACATCATCCTCTGTACTTAACAGACATCCCCATGGGACTGTGAAAAGGGAGAGAATCTAACCGTGGTCTAGGGAGAATAGTACCCAGGGCTCTGACCCCTCGAAAATTTTATCAGCAGAAAACAGAAAGTGATTTCTAGGAATGTACTCTGTCAGTGTAATCTTGGAAATGTGGAAATTGCTGCAATGTTTTATCACTGGAACATTTATAAGATCCATTTGGTGTGAGGGAAACAGATCTAGGGGGAATTAATTCACTTGTGCAATCTGCAAAAAAATACTGAAAATCAGATTAAGCTGAGAAACCACATGCTTGGCTTGGGCTCTGCAATAGAAGCATTGGCATCATGATGCAGCCCGGCAGAGAAGGGCTGCAGTTTTTGTCCATGACATCTAAAATTGCAGTCTCAGTAAACAGCAAAAGAGCACATTCTTGAAAAGATTCTGGCATGTAGTGCCCCTGCCAGCAAAACACAGATAAACCTCTGGCTCATGCTTACCAAAAGATCTTTCTTACAGAAGGGTAAGAAAACAAATTAAACTGTATCCCAGATGCACCGTGCAAGGCTGACTTTGCTTCTGATGGGAGCAGAGGGACCAATGCATTGAAGAGCTCAGGGTGAAAGGGAGCAAGCGCTGAAGTAGTAGATCAGGACAGAATGTTGCCTATCCTCCAACACCGCTGCTCCCAGCAATTGCAGTACAGCCAGCTGAAGGCTTCAGTTGTCCTCCAGTTCTGACTCACTTCCTCGAGATTTACTTTAACACTTCATTTGAGTTACTGATGAGTTACAAAGTGAAGTCATTTGCTAAGAATCAGAAAAGTATTTTCTTTTGCTCTCAGATATAGAATTTCAGCGGACTGATGTACTGTTCGCACCTGCACAGATTTGTCAGTTGCTTTAATCAATTAATTGCCCCTCATTTTGTTCCAGCCCCACTGCCCTGGTCCAGCAGCTCATTGCCTGCTATAATTCCTAGGTGTTCTTTGAAAGAGCAGAAAGAAGACACAGTGAGAAAGTCTCCAACATTCTGTGAAATGTAATTTCACCTCCTGGTACTGGTAGATGAAAAAAACCCTTTAATACTATTATTTACAGGAAGGCTCCCTTGGAGGCTCTGTAGTGCATTCATTCACAAGGAGCATGAACTTTCTCTCCCATCAAAACCAAACAAAAGGACCCTGACAAGTACAGGCCAGAGTTTAAAAATTGTTTAGGCAGACAGATGCCTACTTTCAAAGCTCCTTGGATGCTAACTCCTGTTAAGAGAATGGTGTTTGAGCACCTGCTTAGGCTTCTCTCTGCATCCTTTGATAACCAAGTCTTTCAAAATCTTAGATACGCACACCGATGTGTGTGAAAAACAGCAATAGTTTCTGTTTTGAAAAGTGTGTCTGTTTAAACACCAGGTAACGCCCATCCTGGAACATCTGCCAGATGTCCAGCAGGAACATCTGTATCCTGTACAGGGGCCCAGCCCAGCCGCACTCCTGCGGCGTTTTGCTGCTGCGGCTTTTGCAATGCTCGTTCCAGCCCTGGGCATCCCCGGAAAGCGCTGTGCTGCATGGGTGAACCGGGCAGCCCAGACACAGCTCCTCGCACCTGCTTTCCATGCCTCCCCGTAGGTTCCTTCACCGAGTCGTTTCCCCACGGTTAGCACACCGGTGGCTGGTCTGGACTGGAAGGGGAACTAAACATCCCCATTTCAGAGGGCTCATGAATCCACACTCATTTCTGGAAGCCTCTTTGCTGTTCCATGGCTAGGAGAGAGGTCTTGTCTGCGCACGTGCCATGCTCCCCTGAGACGTGCCATGCTCCCCTGAGACGGCTACCACCAGTACACAGTTGTGGAGCAACTGGTCGGATTTTCCCCCTAACAGGGCTGACATTTCACTGCACAGGCAGCGAGCGGCCGGTGCTGCTGTGCAGCTGCCCACCTCGCAGCACTCCCTCGCCTCTCAGTGGGATAACAGGGCTGGAGAGCCACTTTCAAGCGGGCTTTTCCCTCAACTGGGAGTCTCTGCAATAAGCCTGATGGGGAGAAGACACATTTTAGGACGTGCATTGGCTGCAGACGGGCAGGATGATTCCTCCCCGCCTGTCTGCAAGATGAGGCAGGTTCAGCGAGCTCAGAGCCGCACAGCGCATTAGCAGCAGCCTTGCGTCTAATAATAACACTGACAGCAATTAAAAATGTAACTCCATTTAAGGGTGAGATACACAGCTTGGGGTAAAGACTGTAGGATGTAAAAAAATGACACCAGTGGGTATTTTAAGACAAAACAGCTGAAGGTACAAGCTGGCTGCGTGGCAGAGCTCACTCCCTCGCGCTGGGGTGCTGCTCCCACCCCCTCGGAGAGCCGCAGTAGAGCCCCCGATCTTGCCGCCCCTTCAGCTGCTGAAGATACGGCGGAGCTTTGCTCCACCTTTGGGCTGGGGCCGGGAGGCTGGGAGGGAAGCAGGCTGAGGTTTGCATCACAGGGCAGAGCCTGGGTGTCCCACCCGGCACCCCGCTCTCAGGGCCAGCCATCCGTACTCAGGAGCATATGGGGAAGGCACCCACATTGCTTTGGGAGCACATGAGGTTTCTAGGGATGTTCTGGAGCAGATTCAGCAGCAAATGAAGCAAAACAACTCCATTGTCATTTCCACGTCTTTGAGCTTGTTGTTGGCCATCACCCAGACCTGTCTGAGCTCACCTGAGGTAAGGCAGGGAGAGTTTTATCCAATAAAGCAGATGAGAGAGCGCAAACAGACAGATAATACTGCCTGTGCCAGAATCCCCTTGGAAAAATGAAGAGCTAATGAAAGAGGAATATACTTGGAGACAAAAAAGGACTTGCACACAGCCCAAGACTAGTCCAGGCTCTCGGCCAATCTCACTTCAGTGTGACAGCTGAGATGGTGTCTTAGAAAGTGAAAAACAATTCTGACCAGAATTGTCAGAGAAGGGTCTCTAAAATAAAGCCAGAGGAGGGTCTGTAAGTCAAACAGCCTGAATATGGCCTGGTTCCTTCCCCGGCCACAACCAACCTTCACTTTCCCTATAAAGCTTTTACCATTTTCAGCTGCATCAGCTGGTTGCTAAGACTTTAATGCAAAAAACCCCCAAACATATTCCCTAGCTGGGATGGAGAGGGCATGTACAATGCAGTAGGCATGTCATATACTGTAATGAGACTGTGTCTGTGCATATTCAGTCTGTGTCAGTATATATTCTGTCTTTCAATATAATGCCTCACTACGCCAACTACTGATTTGCAGGGACTGTACACACTGCTATTACTTGCAACCGGCCGATGGCTGTGGCAGGCCAGGTAGCACAGCCCACGTGGTGGGTTGGAGGGGATCGGAGCCCCCGCTGCCAACACCACCTGCAGCACCCACAGCTCCTGAACGCCTCTGTGCTGCTGCTGCTGCAAAAAACAGAGCAGCTCCATGCCGTCTGCACGCCGTAACTATTTTTGCAAGCACCAGCAGCATGCGCTGTCCTTCAGGCTACATTTGCCTGCACGCTCATTATAAAAGGGAGGGCAAATTGAACCCGGGGAGGGAACGGGGGATTTCCAGCAAGTCTGGTGTGACCCTGGGTCCAACAGTGCCAAGAAAAACAGAAGCACTCATGAAAATACATATAAATGAAGCCCAATCTAAAGCATTTACAGAGCTAAGAAGTGGTTAATGAGCAGTAAGTAGTGCATTGCTGGTAATTTTGCAGCTTCTGTGTAGGAGACTTGGCAACCTGCTGTGTTTTATAAATCGCTGAATGGCAGAATATGGCTCAGTTTCTGCTGGCTGCTGGAGCAGGCCCACAGTTTGCATCCTTTGGTGAGGAGCAAGGGGTCCCACAGCTGGGTCCACTCAGCCATGGGGAACACCGGTGCAGGGGCAGTCCTGGCACCGACGTGGTTTTGGCGTCTTTTCTTCCTTTGGCGTCCTTATTCTTCCAGAATAAACTGGTGCAAGCTTAATTTTGGGAGCTGGTAATACCAACATCACTAAAAGCTTTGCTGTGGTTTCCTTTGAGCTAGCGGGATTGATCACGGCATGGAGAAAGGTCAGCAGGACCCTTTGCTGGCCACATCCAGCTACTCACATTTTCTTTGGTTTTCTCTCTTCCTGTTAACACATTATTTGTGAACAACTGAAATTTAATTTCAAAGTAACTGTGAACACTGATAAACTCAACAGCTCAAATGGCATAAGAAAGCAGCTCTCTCATGAAAACATAACTACCTTGCATAATCCGCCTTTCTGAAGCACAGGTTTGTATCCTCAGCTCTCTCCCCGCAGGCAAGGATGTACTTTACTCACAGCATGGGATCAGCTAAGAGCTCTCTATCCCCCTGCTCTTGTAGGCAGGACCGAGCGATGTAAGTGGCAGAAAGCCACCTGGGAGCACTTTCATCTCCATCCCTGCCTATCATTATTTTAATCTCTGCTCCCAGTTTTCAGCTCACTGGCAGCTGCAGCTCACTCACAGAGACAGAAGGGAATACAGATCTTGGAAGACAAAACCAAAACATCCAGAACTGCAAAACATTAAATCAAAAGCAAAGGTTGCACATTCTCCCTAGGCTTGTAATAGCTCCTCCTGATGCAGTTTGCATCATCTCATCACTGTTGATATTTATAAGATCTCTGAAATATTGCAAGCACCTTTCCAGCAACAACATCTGACCCAGAACCAACATTTCTTCTGGGAAAGTTCCTGTCTCAGAAAAAAATGTTGCTTTAGAGAGCAGCAAATCACTCGTTCAGAGCCTCTCCTTACCAGGCCCAGTGCCATGTCTATCCCCAGTGCCACGTCTGTCCCCTCCTGGCCACACACTCGAGTGCTGTCCCCCCGACTGCCACTGGCGCTGGCTTTGCCTCTCATGAGACTGACAGGGGACACCCCCAAGTCACCTCTAAGGCGGGGGCATTCAAAGAAGAACCTGTCTTAATCCCACGGGAGTTCAGCCGGCGATCAAGGTCTTTGAAAACCCAGTTCCTACTCCTATCACACAGCTTAGAAAATACCGAAATACTAATGGACTTTGCTGCAGCATCAGGGATGAAAATCTACTGCTCACTGGGTTTAGCTTAAATCAGCAGTTTAAATGTGAAAGAAATCATAGTGTTAAAGACAAAGTCCCTGAGTGCTAAACTATCCATGTGTACCGCAGGCCAGGATCTTGGACTTCTCACCATGTGTCAGTGTCTCTAACCCCAGACCCTGCTGGGGTGCAGTGATGGTCTTGCTGGGGGGACTGTGGACAGGGAACAACAAAGAAAACCCCAAACAACTCAAGCCAGCAAAAAAAAACTACCTGGCTTGTTTTTTCTGCCTCAGGGACACATGCTTCTCCCAGGCAAAAGCTTTTAAGGATAACATTCCCAAATCACTCAAAGGTGCCTGCCCATCCTTTCTCACTGGTTGCTATGGTGAGGGATGACGGAGCCCCAGACGGGTATAATACAAGGCAGCGCGCGGGGAAGGGATTGAGCAGAGGCAGGAGGCAGGCAAGCAGAGGGAAGAGGGGAAGGCGCTGCCCGCCCGCAGCCACGCTCCTCTCCAGCTTGGACAGGCCACCGCTGACCAGCCGGGGGGTAAGTGGCTGTCCCTGGCTCTGGGAGGGCTCAGCGATGGGCACTGGTTCTGTTCTGCTCCTCATGTAGGAATGGTTATAACAGTTGTTAAGATGAGCTGTTGCTTGAGTGAGTCAGAGGAAAGTTAGTTATATTAAATGAGAGAGGAAGAAGGAAAAAAAGAAACCAGGTTCTATCCCATGCAGCTCCTGCTCAGAGCACTTGGCTGGTTTGGATAGAAAACCCTGCAACGAGGCTCAGAAAGCACTTTGGAGAACTAAATGAGTGATGTACTGAAGGGATTTGTGGCTGTTGTTAAACAGTAGTTTGTTAGTGGTCCGTGTCTTTTATCTGGGGGGAGGGTTTTGTACTTATTATTCACATATTTGTACTTCCCTAAAGGCATTGATTTTATATTTCAACAGCCTTCACATTTCACATTTAAGATCCTGATATTACAGTGAGATGCTGTAGGAAGAGAAAGAGTTTATACTCTATTAAGCAACAAGTTAGGTACAGAAAATGCAGCGGCAGCTTAAATCAGTAAATCATTATGCAGCTTTTAAAATAGCATTTAAAAGGCTGTGTAAAATGAAAATATCTTTTGGCAGCTCTGCAAGGCGGCAAGCTGGAGATTGCTTAATGATCAGTTTATGTTAATTAGACTTGCAGTACCCTTTCTATTCCATGGGAAACAAAAAAGCTAAAAAAGCTTCCTATATACACAACCAGTCAAAAAGAAGAGAGTTTTAAAAAAAATCTAACTAGAACATAAAGTGCACCCTATGTCCCAGTTGGCTTTTTTGGTCATGAAGCAGAGTGATACAGTAGGATTCATCTTCTGTAATTTTGGCCATCTAAGACCCAGCATCTAATCTAAGCTAGCCAGGCACAGTCCCGAGTCCAACCTACGGGCCCGTAAAGCTGGTGGAAAGACTTCACCAATGTCAGTGGCCTTTAAACCTGTGCACATATCGGGAAACTCAGCCTCTCCCTGCATCTGGTTACAGGGGCACAATGAACATTGAAGTGCATAACATCACTTACACCAGCGCCACCATCTCCTGGGCCATGAACAACCCCTGTCCAGAGAACTACTACCACGTCATGTACCGCCCCAACTGGAACAGCGTCTTCGCTGGCTATTTACACCAAAACTTCCACCGTGAGGAGCGAGTTCCTCACCCCCTCAGCTCCCTCGTCCTCCACCGACTCACGCCATCCACCATCTATGTCCTCTGCATCACGTGCAAGAACTCTTACCCCTCCAGCAATCACTGCACCACCTTCCACACTCTGGACAAATCTCCCCTGGTTTTCGGCGGCTCCAAGCACGAACCCACCACCTCCATGTGGATGGTAAGCAGCCTGCTGCTCCTCTGCTTCATCGCTCTCCTGGCCTATGGCTGCCTGCAGTTCTGGTCTGCACGGTGCCACCGTGCTGCAAGGCTGAAGCATCCCAACGCCAGCCCCGAAGAAGTGGGAGAAGGCAGCAGCTCACCTGAGGGTCCACTGAATGATGGACTGAGACAGGAGCTTCTGGAAGTCCCCATGACTGCTGTGCTCATGAGGAGCTCCAGTTTTATGAGGGAGAGTCCATACAGCTCCCCCCACTGCTTTTTTTCCTATAAAAACAGCGATGATAAAAGGGCCATCTTGCCTCAGCATGGACTTCAATGAGCAAAATAGAGGGAGACCCTGCTCAGAGGTTTGGTTCGTGCTGCTCTTGCCAACAGGACTGTCTGTGCATCTATGGGGGCTCTTTGTCCCAGGGTAGAACACCAGGAGGGGATGTTGGTCACAGGGAGAAAGATTTTTGTCAAGTAACACAAATATTTTCATTTGATGAGGGTTTTTTAAAAAGAAACCACGTCAGCTCTCTGGGAACAGCCAAGCTCTGTAGTGTCATTAGCTAATCTGCTGTAGGTTCACTTCAGAGTCATTAATCAACGTGCAGAAGACATAAACTCCACTCAAGCAGTTTCACACTTGAGTGATCCTCCGCTAGCATCACACCCCAAGCCCTCATAACGCCTGTATAAACACTCATCACAGCCTGACAAAAGAGCTTTTTGTTTCAGTATTAAGTAGTCTATATTTGCACACACAAGTATTTTAGCAATTCCCATTTTGAACTACAAATGGAATTCCTGAAGTGGTCCCTTCTTTAGAGAGGAGCACTGCTCTGGAGCTCCAACCGGCTCTCCTCTCCATCTGCGCATTTAGATGGATGCGACTTGGTCTCAGTGCCAACACAGCACAGAGCGGTGTCAGCATCCCCTAACGTAGGCATGTTAAGGAGAAGAATACGGGAAAGCAATAGCAAAAGCATGTTGAATCTGCTTCTTGCATGGCTTTTTAGTTTCACATAGCAACGCAACCCTGCACATTTGCATTCGGTTAATGAACTAGTTCTTGCATTTCTTTCTTCCTAAATAAAAGCTTCCAACACCCATCGCTTCTGGTCGTTGTGGCTCACTTACTGACCTTGGATCCGTAGAGGTAATATGGCTGCACGTTGGCTGGCTTGTCCCGCTGGGGTTCCTGCGTGAAAGGGATTGCTGTCCTCACAAACCTGCGGTGGGCACGGGAGATGGGGAGGAAGGTGGTCAGAGCCCGGTCTGTTGTGCTGAGTGCGCATACGGCACAGTCTGGGATGAACTGCAGCTGCAGACTAATTAGCAATTCATCACCTGAGCTACATGAACTGGAATGTAAACTCCTGCCCCAACCTATTGGTGGTGTAAAACGTCAGTTTAACTTACCAAAGGTGAGGTTTCTTCTCATTTGGGGCAGGCAAGAAACCCATATATGAGCAGGTACCACAGCTCTGCTGCTCAGTAAACCAACCCTCTAACCCAAACTAGCTCAGTTCCTTACAATCACCATCCAACTTTGTTGCTTTCATTTGTTACTAACATTTTCAAGGCCAAGGGGAGCTGGTGGCCCTTAATTTCATTTTAACTGTAACTAATCCCACAGGGGAAGAAAACCTCGCCACAATGCATATGAATTTTATGTGGCAGGTTTGACATTTTGGAAAGAAAAGCAGGGTCTCCAGGTGCCCCTGCTTTGCTTTTCCTCCTCACCTGTTGGTGGATCCATTGTAGCAGTAGTTGGGTAGAAAGTCAAAGTTGAGCTCCCAGAAGACGTGGAGGGTGATGCGCCCATAGGGTGCGGAGACGTTGTGGTTCGCCTCCCGGAACATGGCATCGAAGCTGTCCAACGTCATGTGCTTGCACAGCAACCTGTGAGTCAGGCGATTTATTTCCAAGAGCCACTCCAGCTCCTGCAGCACATAAAGCAGCAGCAAATGCAACATATTACCAAGATGACAATAGAAACAGCTGACTTAATTGCCAGTGTTATGATTTTATGTGCACAGCCACACAGAACTTTCCAGGTGAGGATGCAGCAAATGCTGAAGACATAATTTTAACTCAGTCACTGAGGCCAGTTGCACTTCTACTCAAGGGGGTCCTGGTCCAGTATCTCCTAGACGTGCAAGAAGTGAAATTAATTTGTTCCCCACTGAGCAGTGTCTGGCTTTCACATCCTTCAAAGGTGGAAACTGATAATTTTACACTACTTGACTTTGATGGTCCTGTAACTTATCAAAGACAGTAAATCTTGTACGCACACAGACGATGTCTCAGACACCTTCATCCAACAGGGGGAATTAAAGTCAAGATTTCCTTCTCCCAGGCTACAGGATTCTCTTATATGAGCTCTGCAAAATCTAACTGCTGCCTGTCACCTTATGATTTACACAGATACTTAATGGTCCAGTAGTAATGCAATTAAAGCTGCATAAACAGAGCGGCTCAGCAGCACAAAGCAGGATACATGGCTGGCTGAAACCTACTGTAAGCGGGACTTGAAGCAGAAGACAGTTGACTGTGTAGCCACAGAAGTGTATTATTCTTCCTATTCATACTCGCAGTCAATAACAGTTCTTACCACTATGGATGTCAGGTCCTCGCTCTCAAAGCGGCTAATGGCCTGGTCTAACGACTTGTACATCGCTGCTGAGATACGCTGGGTAATGAGCCTGTTCAGGTCAATGGATCTACCCAGCAACTGGGAAAAGAAGAGAAGGTAATTTGCGTTTTATATACAGATGGAGAAAAGGCAGTTTATTTTTCTTTTTTAACAGACACAAATTAAACCCAAATATCCAAGTCTGCTTAAATGTGAAAGTCTGCTTAAATGTGAAACTCAGCCTCAGCTGAGTTTACCATTACTTAACAGGGAAGGAGGGAAATGCGGAGCGTAGCTCATTTTCCCCTTGGCCCCATGCCCTGATTGTGGTGTGCCAGAAACAGGTTCAACCCTTTTCATTCCAGCACTGACTTTGATTGAGTCCAGCAGTAAGATGCCGGCCACCAACAAAAGGATAATAGACCAAGAGCCATGAGTACTGGAGTCTACTGCTTGCACTGTACCTGGACGTGCCTCTGCTTGAGCAGTGTTTCGTAGCGGTTGGATGGTGGGTATGGAATAATCACCCCATAATTCTTACATTCAGCCCGGAAACGTTTGTCCAATAAAACACTGAAAAAGGGAAGCAGTGTCAGGAAAAAAAGAAACATGCACTATCAGCTTCCCTCTGGATCTTTTCCAGAGTTGTTTTCATCCTTCTTTTAACTTTTCTCTGAATGCCAAGAAATTTCCACACACTAATAACTCTGCCTACACCACTAAACCACAGAGCAGCGGTTGTTATCTGGGGACTGCCATGCTGTTGTCCATCATTCTTGGCTTTTATGGCTAAAACATTCCGAAGATAAAAGATTGTGATGAAAGATATCACTAGTGCCAGGTACTGGCATGCTGCCTCCTGGAAGATCTGCTCTGGGAACATTTGGTTGGTGATGGTGATTGCTCCCCTTCTCCAAGGCCAAATGTGATCTAGAGACAAAACTCCTTGCAGAGTTACACTGAAGATGTAGTTCACCTTTGGGGACATGAGAGGAGGACTTAGTAGAGTTCATCCATGTTCTTGGTTAGAAGGACGTCACAAACGGCCTATCTCCCCACAAGGGAGCAAGTGACTGCAGAAATCCTACAGTCAGATGGTCTAATGTGTGACCGAGGATACTGAGTACCCTTCTGGCCTTTACATGTTCTCCTACTTTACTAGGGTGAGGACAAGTGCATGTTTGTGTTTCTTAGAGATGGGAGGCTTCCACTCCTCATCTGCCTGGTACACAAACAGAAGTCAAGCAAGGACATGCCTTCAACAGGCTTGGTTGCTTTTCTGCTGCTCTCACTTATTGTACTCAGACAGCTCCTTGGGATGGCAATTATTATTTTTTAACTTTTAACCATGTCTCCTTGCCACTATTAATTTATTTTCCCCATCTACACTGGTCTGACATGGACAGCCAGCTCTGTGGGACAGGGATGATCTATTCTGTTATGTCTACCAGTGGTGGCTACTCCCTGCGGGGAATCTTTTGGTTAACAGCAATTTGGATGCAGCAATATCATCACTCAGCAGCAGCAGTCAGGTTCTCCTACCTGCCAGCCATTGCTTTGTAATAGGCAAAGATCTGGTCTGCCAGCTTGTACACAAATTGATCAAAGCACAAATTCACCTGGGGGAGAAAAAACCAAGACATCGTGAGGGTGTCACCAACACAGGGCAGCTCCTCCCTACGCATGGAAGATCAATACAACTCAATACAGAGCTCTAAGTTAATACATACAATTATGTATTAAATATCTAAAAATCACACTGCACTTTTCACATGCTAAAGGAAAGCAGAGAAATGCAGATACATTTCTCTCTTGTAGTTTCTGCATGTTCTTACAGGTCCCAGTCCCCCATCCCCAGTCATCCTTTTGTCTCATGGATCTCCAGTTGCCCATTTTCTTCTGATGTCTCATAACCCCCTGCCCATCAGACTGCCTCTTCCATGTCCCCCGTGTTTGACAGCTTTGGCTTCCAGTGTTCCCCATGGGTACAGCTGAGCTGAAGCCCTTAATCAGCAGAGTCTGTAAGCTCTCTGGAAATTTTGATCTTTTGAAAACTTCTCAGTCTGATGGGGTATTTTTTTCAGGAGATGCCTATAATGAATTTGTGGAACTGCTGGGCAGGCCTGTCAAACAGGGCAACAGGACCCCAGTGAGCTCTTTCCTTACAATAAAGATTAAGAGAACTTACTTCAGCTTCAATTTCATCATACAGGAATTGCTTTTTAAACTTGGTCAAGGCATAGTATGCGCTGTCATTATAGAGGTCCAAGGGGTACAGTACATACCTGAGGGCAAGAAGACAGATCATGTCGTAAGTTAAACCACGGAGCAGGATAAATGGCAGCCAGTGCATGTGCCTGGCTCGGTGCAAAAAAATGGCTCTTCTCTGACTTCGCTCCTATCATCTCCACTCACTCCAACCCCTCAAATCCTGCCTCTTGCTCCCTTATGTCAGAGTTGCTGGAAGCAGCTGGAACACATCTGGATTTGAGCTGTGACTTGTTCAATCAACACTTGCTCCTTCTCTGCCCTTAAAAAAGCTTCCATGCTGTCCTCGCTCCACAGAGCGCCCTGACAATAGCTGTAAAATGGAAAACAAAGTCTTCCTAATGAGGAAGATATTATGAACATAATTACAGTTGCATAACAGCAATTCCTCTCATAATTTATCATGTATATAAAAAAAAAAAAAGTGTTTAGGTGCCTTAGCCAGGGCCCACGTCCCTTTGGTTGCACATGATGGCTGACTGCTGCATGCAGATGACGGTACCACCAAGTTGTGCCCACATCCGAATAGAGCAGTTGCCAGTTGCTGCTTTATGATGCATAAGTAAGTGCCAGTGCCAGGAAGTTGCCTGTGTGCATCTGCTAACGAGGTACTCACACAGTACACATTCATGTGACAGCCAGTTGAGAAACATCTATTCTTCCTCCCACATCAAAAAGACTGTTCATCACCAGCCTACCCTACTCCACAACAACATCCCAAGCCTCAGCGCATGCACAGTCCCACCACAGCCCATTGGCTCTTACTCCATCATGGAGGGTTCTTTGGTTTCCAGAATGTGGTCTGTGAGGATCCAGGGCATGGACATTTCGATGGGGAACTGGATGCGGCGGCCCATGGTCAGCTCCAGGAAGAACTCCCGAAACCAGAGCTGGGACAGGTCGCAGCACTGCTGCAGCGCTTCTGAAAGGCAGAGGAGATCCCCCCGGCAGGAGGGCACCCATGTTACTCCCGTGGGGACGGCAGTGAGGGATGTACACAAGAAGCAGCTGCTGCAGCCTCATGTTGGACTGGTTTTAGGTATGGAACATTCTTCTGGGATGTCTCTGTTTTTAAACCCAACCCTGCCCACATTGTCTGAGCACTTTGTAGTGGAAGAAGAAAGAAGGGATCATTTCTTTTGCTCTAGAGCTCTAGGAAGAATATTTCAATAGCTCAGAGTTATTCTGGAAGATTTTTTCTGTGCCCAGTGGATCAGAAGTCTGCCTGGAATGGAAAGAAAACTCCAGACCTAGAAACTAAACTACCACTTGTAGCTGTTTGCATTTGTTGACGCATTCCTGTTCACATAATGATCACTACCCAGAAATGCTCCTGTACCAGGCAGAAGCAGAAAATTTGGGAAAAATCAAGGAAAATCTTTTGCATTGGTCAGTGAAGAGCAAAGATGATCTACCTTTGCCTGTCTGAGCATGCAAGAGTTGGATTCAAGCCTCCCCGTGCCATAACCTCACCACTGATGTTGAGAAGGTGGGTGAAGAAGAAGGACTGCTTGTGGAACTCCTCGATGGCCAAGACTATCGGCCCATCCAGGCTGCTCCTCAGAGTCTTCTTGGAGCCACTCTTGTCTGCTATGAGGGACTCCAGCATGGTCCGCACCATGTAGAGCTTTGGAAGAAAGTTAACATGCAGTTACCACTCTCCAGTGAGACACTCCCACACGCAGCCATGGTGTTCTGCAACAAAAAATAACACTTCTCCCAGGCGGCTACTACTCTCTGCATCCATAGCTACCGTCAGTCTGGGATAGAAATAATTACACTCCTAAAAAAGGAGACTTTGGGAACTAAGCAACATTTAACACACAAGAGCATGAAGACTGTGGAAGACACCAAGGAAACAGCTGCTAATCCACTGGATGGGAGACCCCCACATGGCTGTTAGACCATTAATTCCCCACACAGGAGATGGAGATTTACATACCTGCGTACTTGATGGTCCTACTGCTCGTCGTGGGACTTTAATATCAAATCCTCCTTTAGGATCCTTCTCACCTCTCAGGCAAGGATCATTTGGAGGCTCTCGACCTCCCTCCCAGTCACAGATTGTCTTCCGAATTGCCTGAAGGACACTGGAGTGGGTGGGAGAGGGAAAGTAGTGCTTAAGCTTGGTTCTGCTTCAAGATTAAAATATTCACTGCTGTGCACATACAGGAGGAAAAGCATCTGAGGTGGGGATATACACTGGGGGAGTCATGCCCAAAGGTTACCTTGGAAAGAGTTGCTGGCCAAGGTATGTTGGCTGGTTGTATGCCACGAGGTGTATGCAGGGCCACATGCTTATACAGTACAAATGTGCTACACAAATAAATACACGAGCTTTTGCATTACATTCAAGAAGGACAGACTGACCTGATCAGGACATTCTTCTTCTTCCTGACTGCCTGCCGGAGCGGCTCTCGCAGGGTCACCTGGGCAAAGTCCTGGAGGGCTGCATAGATAGTGTTGCGGATGGCTTGGTTAAAGACGCTCTCCATCCGGCCCATCAGCACTTGCAGACCTTTGATCATGGCAATCACCTGAAGCAAAAATTACAAACAGAGGTATTTACTATTTTTCCATTGTATGGAGAGGTCCATAAATCCAACATTAAGAGAACTTGGGACTAAATGAGTTCTACTCAAGTGACTTAGGTTGAGTAATTTGGTGTGTAATTTTTTTGGTGTTAGCTGCTTTATGGCTCACAACAAGCTGAGGAGAGCATTTACACTACCAGTTTCTTGCACATGGCCCCTGTCCCTTGGCAGGCTGTTTCCACACCTCATCTCTTGGTATCTTTAACACAATCCCAGGAAACTGCACATGCTCCACACATGGGTGCAGCTGTGTGGCTTGCACAGACCTGCGTCTGCACCAGGGCATAGTGACAAATCCCAGGAGGGAGTGAGCCACAAAAATTAAGGCAATGTTCAAACCACTTTGAACTGTGTAAGGAAAGATGAAGGTGTGAGGGCCTCCCACAGCCAGGCTTGGAGGACTATTCCCACTGTCCACAGACAGCTGGACTGAGAGTTGATGGGTCCTGGGGACTGGCTGAGGATCTCCTAGGTTTTCACAGTGCCTGAACGTAGCTCCTGATCTTGCTCCAGATCACACTGCTCTGCAAGCCCACATACTTTTTTCAGGAGTCCTGAATCTTCTTGTCAGGTCAGGAGGGGCTTAATACAGCAATATTAGGAAAATGTAGGGATTTACCTCTGTCTTTCTCCAGCACACAAACACAGCATAAGAAGAGCAGGATCAGGAAAAGAGAGGAGAATTGCTCTAGTCATGCATTGGTGCAGTGTAGGAGCTCCTAAGAACTTAATTTGCCCCTTTAATGTGGTCTACAGGGATGAGGACCCTGCTGAGGAACCTGAGGAAGGTGAGGTGCCCTTCCCTCCTCTTCCCCATGGACAGGAACAGCCCTGGATGGTTCTTACTCTTGTGCAGTCAGCACCTACCTCCACAAAGGCAAACTTCTCTTCACTGGTGTAGTTGTACCGGGTGGCTCTCTCATACTCTTCTGCTGTTCCTGGGCAATCCTTGTTACAAAATTTATCTGTGGGATGAACCAGCTTCCAAGAGTACTGGAAGATGGAAAGAGACACTGTCAACACTGCAATGAGTAAGAAGGCAGGCTGGTAAGACTGAAGAGTGCCCTATGCCAGGAAAACATTCCCTAGACATTACTACAGTTGTTTAACATTCCTTTGGGAGCAGAAATTGTGCCTCTTTCTGGCTTTATTATCACTGTACTGAATATTGTTTTTCTTTATTTGGGAGGTTGCCAGTCATATTGGAATTTAACATCCATGGACTCGTGTTGAGATGGGGTCAAAATTTTCCAACTTAGGAATTTCCATCATCATTTGGATTACAGTTTTAGTTCCTCAAGACCCAGACTTATCCCAAACAGCTTTCAGTACTTAACTGCGCTGTTCAGTTCAGGAGAACAATCACCCAGTCTCCCTCTAGCATCAGCAGGGACACCCCAGCACGTGCCATGTTAAAACATTCACACTCAAGTGGGAAGAGGAGGAGGCTAAACACTCACCACTTCCATGACGTGGGCACTCCACTTGGACAGCAGCTGCAGTCCCCGTAGAGCAAGATCAAACAGCTCCCTGTACTCTTCATCCGATTTCTGGCTGTCCAGTCCTGAGCCCGTGACCACCTGGAGACCATCACATCACGTCAGGGCTCAACTCAGCAACGTGCTGCAGAGGCTTTGCTGAGCCAAACATCAGCCACAGATCTTTCTCTCAAATCCCAGCTGAAGTTAATTCCTCATGACCTTACGACCAAGCTAAAATTGCACAGTGCATATACTGTCCCTCGGGAAAAGGGGTATAACTTGGCAAAGCTCTTTTTACCCAGGCAGTCATTTTTTTTCCCCTACAAAAATGAATCTGACCTGTCACCTCAGAGCAAATCACTGACTGTTTTCATTCCACTCTGCCATTCCTTTGTGATGGTCTAATACTACTGAAATCCTTGAGAGTCTTTTAGTGAATTAAAGTTCAAATAAGCACTTACAAATGCCAAAAAGAAAAGGCCCAAGAATGCTAACAATTCATTGCACTGACAGTGATGAATGACGATCACACATTTGCAAAAAACAGTCACAGTCACATCAGAGAGGGCTTCGCCGTTCAGTAATGAAAAGAAGAGAGATGCCCTCATGAACTTTCCTCTAAGGCCTGACCGATAGCTCTGTGTAACAGAAAAGACCCATTTGCAAGACATGGGTGTTCTGACACCTGGCTGACAATACACATTTAGTTGCAAAAATTTTTCTGTTTATTTTGAGTGAGCTGTGGCCACTTTTGCAGTAGATATTCCAGTGCACACGATTTTGCACCTGCAGGGGCCCTTTATAACTTGCTTTTTTATTACTGGATCGAGAAGTGGTTTGTTCCACTTGTGTCCTCCTTCCCTCCTCACTGTGCGTCCCTGGCTCTTGTCACACTTGTCCTCTCCTCGCCTCATCTGTCTAACGAGCCTGATTACGGCAGCTACCCGCAGAGCTTACCTCGCTGTTGCTGTAGCGAGCGAGCTCGGAGATGAAGCGGATGTGGTCATCTCGGATCTGCACCATCTGCTCACAGATGTTGTACTGGGGGCTTATGCTGCTCTGAGTGCACGTCCACCTGGGCAAAAAAGCAAGAGTTTCAAGGACAGGACACGGAGCTCCACAGACACCCCCAGGGATGAAGCCTTGCTCTCTTCACTTCATTGTGCTCAAGACTTCCCACCTTCAGGGCAAATGTCAGCCTGTGTCGTCTCTCTAATGTCCCCCGGTGCGTGGGGACCTCCAGAGGTGGTCTCACACAGCATGATGGGGACACTTGCCTCACCTTTCAGCCTGAACATCTCTGCTCCATCCACCCTGAAGGCTGCTCTCCATGTTGGGCTGACCTACCCCCCTGCGCAGAGGTGGCCATTTTCCAGACCATTGTTGGCCAAGCTGTCAGGGAGGATGAACTGCAGAGCCTCAGCATCGTTTGCATCCTTTCTGCTAAACTTAAGGATAATCATCCCCTTAAGAGGTCATCTCTCCAGGACCGAAAGGGCTGGGTCATGCTGCCTTCTCCTGCAAGGAAAGACCCGCAAGGGGCCAGCAAGGAAATATCCCTCCCACTCTGGTCTTGGTTCTGGCTCATGCTGTCAGTTCAGTGAACCACCCTGAGTACAAATAATGAGCAGAGTATGGCTGAATGAACTAGAGTTTCAGTTGCACAGAGCCACATGTCCTGTGTAACAGCGTAATGGGGCCCTAAAAGAAGGCAGTGCACCCCTTCCAAAGGTACAATCATATGAAGAAATGGTGCGAATCAGGTCTATTTAATTTTCTATTTAATTTTCTCCTTTTTCCCCCATTCCACAGACATAGAACCAGAATGGCTCCACCAAAATCCTTTATGCAAGCAAACATCTGTCAGTGAGACTCTCATGTCTTACTCTGTCATCACAGTGTAAATGTTCAGATCTTGTTTTTTTCCCCTCTATATAATTGTCCATCTTAAGATAGATATTAATCTTCTCCAATCTAGATTGGCCGTACAAAAGGAAGGTGAGAAACCTGCCACTGATATGGACATAGACACAAAGACACCTTCTTTCAGTTAACTGTGAGGCACCTGTTGGCAATAGTTGTGGTGGCTGAAGGTCCTGGAAGTGCTGGACCATGTCATCCCTTGTGAAATCCATCCTCCCCCAGACCCATCGCTCCACTCTTACCCGTTCCAATGTCCTGTGCTCCCCACTGGACAATGGGCAGGTTGGCAGGAATGGCCAGGGCTGCCCCAGCCCTCCCTGCCACACACAGCCTAGTCCACCGTGCAGAAACAAAGCGCCATGCAGGAAAAACACCCATTAATTCCACTTTCATGGAGACACGGAGGAAAAGAAAATGACAAAAACAGTATTAGTAAGAAATGGGGATTATATGGAACCACCTTGGCAGAGGTAGTGCTGGGAGTCCCATGCAATTTGCTGGGAAAGCAAGCGAGTGAGGAAGAAACATTGGTTAGTAAGGTGCGGCACACAGACCTGGTAAGACAGATTTCAAGACAGACATTAAAATTGTGCACAGATAACCAGCCCGCGAGCTACCTTGGCTTTGAGATGAGAAAATGAATGCAGTTGACACATATTTCGTTGAAATGTGCTTTCTGAATGACTTGGCATAAAAAGGTGTACACTTTTAGACAATTTTTCCCATTTAAATTGAGTTTTCAAAAATATTCTTTAAATTTACATTTTGTAGGATTTTTCTAAATTTTTTTTTTTCAGTTTTAATTAAAAACCTTTTGCTCAGGAAGTTTTGCCACATTGTTTTCAAATTTCTCATGAACAATTGGCACTTTTCAACCAGCCTTTGGGAGGGCAGGGGAGAGCCGTTCCTGGGTGAGCTACGTTGTGGGCAGAAAAGCCACGTGAGCTTTTCTGCTTCCTCCTGGTGAGCCACGTTTGTGGGGTGGATGGGACAAGCGAACAGAAGCAGAGAGATAAGACCGCAGGTTTTTCTGAAGAGAAGCTCAGCTAGGCTGCTTCTCGCAGATGCCAGAGAAATCTGACTTGTGTGTGATAGGGTCCCACGGGTGACGGGCCAGTCGCTGGGGAAAGACAGGCTGCCAGCACCGATGACAGCCTGACACAGCTCAGACAGGCTCACGTGTGGCTGCAAACACCATTCCGAGGCTATCCAAACCTAACACCAATTCTTCTAGCAATAACTGAGCGCAATGCAAAGCTACAGAGACAGGTGGGACCTTGCACACGCCTGGTCTGAAACAACGGCTGCAAATCCATCTGACAGGAGCAGCAACCTGCTCGTAACCCTGGCTGGGCAGCAGTGCTGTACACTCCTGTGCACTGCCTTAAAGACTCCATTTCTGCCCTTCTCCCACAATATTCATTCATTTCCAGTGCATCTGATTTCCAGTTCCACCCTCATTCCCACTGCCCTTCCTCAGGAAACCTGCCCGAGCTAGAGGAGACATCCTGGCTGCTGCAAAGAGATTCACTGCCGTGTTCACGCTCTGGAGGACTTTGACCCTGGGATGCAAAACGTGGATTAAAATCTCTCCAGAGCAGGGACACGCTGCTCACACTCACACACCTCGCAAGCACTCCGCGGCCACCCTGCTCTGCGCACCAGCCACCTTTCCTTCCTCCAGCCTCGCTGCTGGCCACCGAGCACCCTCCCAGCCCTGGCCAGTGGTGCAGACGTGCAGGCATGCCCGCTGCCCTGCCCACACCCAGGGGTACGGTCACACGGGGGTTCAGAGCTGCCTGTGGACACACGCACTCGGGGGCCAGCGAGGACATCTTCCCATGCAGGGTCAGGGAGGTACACACGTGCACACAGAGCTGGCACGCTGGGACTCACACCTCACAGGGACACACACGGGTACCCGTGCACAGACCTCACGCACGCCGCAGACTCGCAGCTCCCACGGCTTTCGGGACACACACAGAGAAGCCAAGAGACATTACGGCAGGCACTCACTTGGATTTGTTCTCCTCATAGTGAGCACTGGTCTTAATGTATCTGGCCAGTTCTATCTGCATATCGCCGAATAAAGGAACCACCTGCAGCTGCTGGAAAAGAAAACAAAAGATGGTTGAAACACAGCGGAGAGAGAGCCCGTGGCCCCAGCGCAACACAAGGAACTGTGGAACAGCATCCCGTGTCTCTGCAGCTACGGAAAGTGACAGGCTGTTTAAAGCAAGGTGCAAACCCGGACACAGGGTCATTTCACACCTAGGAAGTTGCCAAAAATGATCACAATGCTTTTTGTGCGAGGAAAATCACCCTGAGAGTGCTCTGGAGCTCTGGTCTTGTCCATACTGGCTGGTTATTGCCAGAACGGTTCAGTGCTGTACCCGGCCAGAAGAAAGGCTCTTCTTACAGCAAAAAGAGAGAAGCGTATTCCTCAGCAGGGCTTACGCTTCCCACCATAATCCTCCAAGGGAACAGAGGAATAAAAAGCCAGCACACTGGTATTTTGGCAGCAGGCTGCTGTGGCCCCCTGGACTGCCAGGGATGGGGCATCTTTCCCCAGGGACTCGGATTGTACTTTGTCACTGCTGCTGCTAGTGATGTGTCTTAAAACTTCTCCACAAAGAGAAAAGACATAGGCAATGCCTGCCTGCTATATAATGGCTTTACTCGCCCTTTACATCTCAGGAGGATTTGGATGGGAAATAAATTCAAAGTGCACTGAACGTACCTCAAGCTCAGACAGGTCCCTGCTTCACTAAGCTTCCAGCTGCAAACAAAATTCAACCAGAAGCTACCAACAGTTCTTCAATAAAATCTGAAGTTTCAACTTCACCTGGCTACAAAAACCTTGCCCCAAAATTCCAGGAAGATGGTGTCAAATTCCCTGTCCTATTATCACACGCTTCTCTTCTCAGGCTGGCACCTATGGAGGATGTGCAATGCTGTCACCAGGGATTCCCAGAGGCACTTTCATAAAAGGTTTAAATGAAGGGGTAGTTCATTTTCACTACTCAAATTCGTGGTCAATCCACTAGAAATTTAATCAGAAGGCAATAAGCAGATGTAGTAAGAGGAGTAGTTGGCCTTTTCTTATTGAGATCTGATAGTCTGGAGTGGTACTTAACTGATTAGGTGAGACCACAGCAGATGTCAGAGGAGCGCAAATGGAAAAAAGGCTGGAAAGGAGAAAGTTATTCCATGCAATGGAAGATATTTTACCTGATTCTCTGATGGCCCACAGCACTTAGCAACGAACAGGAAATCTGTTTGAATGCACCAAGATGACCAAACTCTACAGATTATACTGAGGACTTGATTTAAACTGAGATTCAGTTGAATTGTCAAAGCTGAACCATGGAAAAACTAGGAAGACCCCAAGGGATGGCATGCCAAATCACCTTTGCAGAGCTGCAGTCCTCAGCAGTCTCCCCAGTAACTGAAGAGTATTTGACCACCTCGTTATCACCCCATCCATGAGGTTTAGGTGTTTGAGCCCTGCTCTCAGAGCTGTCTCCAGGAGATAATGCTAATTGGGGTGAAGAGCTCCCCACTCGGTCAGGGTGAGGATGCAGCAGCTGGTACACCAACCTTTCATGAAACCAGCTATCTGGGCTTGCCTGTCTCCTTCCCTTGCACAGACCCAGAGCATCATCTGTAAACTGCAAGTTGGGGCCATAAGCAGGGAGGCATCCTGTACCCTGTCACCACCAAGAACCTTGTCTTCCTGGCTCCTCAACAGTTGGCTGGGTAAAGCAGCAGGGAGAAGCCACTCTGCTGAAAGAATGATGGGGAAGAAGCACTCTGGCCTCCCCGAATCATCATCCTCTCATTTTCACTGTTGTGGAGCAAATGTTGGTAAGAAAAACTGATCTTTCCATTTCAGGAGAACTGCTCAAGCTCAGTAGCTCTAAAAGAAAACTAATTGCTCCATCTGGGAAGTTATTCTGCTGTCCTCCTGCTATACTGTTATTCTTTCCTGCCAATACATTTGTTCCTTGCCAGATCCCACCGTGCCTCCTAGAGCTGACCTGCCCCAAACCAGAGATGCCTCCTGGACCCAGCCTGTGCACAGCAGCAACGGAAAGGAGGTGTCATTTACCCTGTGAATGCCACAGGCAGTGCTGTGCGGGGTCTCAGCCCCCCTTCTCCATCTGCCACTGGTGGCTGTTGGCTTGAACACACCCACCAGATCTTGGGGGGGGAAGCAACAGGGTTATCCCAAACCTTTCTCGTGCTGAGTGGTCCCAGGGAAGTGCAGCCCAGTCTCCAGCATGGAGCAGCCCAGGGCTGGACTCAGCTGCACACGTGCGTGGGCAGAGGGAGGCTGCACGGCTGCTTCACCCTGTCACTGGGAGCATCCAGTTCTTGGGGACCTTTCCCTAAAACCCCGATCTCAGATAAGACAGAAATGGTTCTCAGACCATCAGGTGAGCCCTTTGAGGAACTCGCTGAGCACATCCAAGTTCCAGCCAACGCAAGCTCCCCAAGAAGCTTTTTCTGTCCTGCAGGGAGCACAGTTTATACATGAAATAAGACTGTCTGATCACACACTGGCTGGCCAGCTGCATCCCGCCTCTCAGCTCAGCAGCTTGCTGAGGGCAAGGGGAGTGCAACCATCACCCACCACAGACCTCAGCAAACCAGTCAGGCTTGCTGGTGGCTTGAAATCATGGTGTGCCTCAGGAGAATGCAAACCTGTCCCAGAAATGTGCAAAGAGACAGAAGCAATGTCAGCCTGGCACATCCTTCCCTCATCCACAAAACAGACCTCCCACATGTTGCCTCCGTGCTTTACCCCTCGGCAGGAAGCAGGCAGAGCTGCAGCAGCATCTGGCTGCCAAGCAAGGGTGCAGGGCCCTCGGCTCCCACTGGCTCCCGAACCAGTGGCACGGGAGCAGAGCCAGCCCCAGACACCACTCACACACCCACAGCCTCGCTGGCACCAAGGGCCAGCATCGCTCGCCTCACCCATCCCGCACTCTGTGCCCATGCACGTTCACAGTAATCCCATTCCTCATCCTTCAGCCTAGATAATTTCTCGACTCTTTGGGTTTTTGGAGCTGTAAATGATTCCTGTAGTTTGGGTTTTGTTGGCAGCACACGCAATGGTACGGGTCGCTAATTCCTTCGTCTGCAATGAACTCCAGCCTCACCCAGTCAGGTCACTGACCTTGAAGAATTTGTCGATTTTGCTCAGGTTGATTCTCTTCTTGGCATCCAACTTGTAAATGTTGCTGACATTCCCATCCATGAGATACAGGCCAAAGCCCATCACCTGGAGAAGACAGAAAGGGTGGGTTTCATTAGCGTGAAGTCAGCAGCACACGTCAAAGACACTTCTCCATCACTTAGCATACGGAAAGACCATTTCAGGCTCCTGTACCACCTGGCACTGATAAGAAGAGTGTATAAAACATGCACAGTGCACACATCTGCAAGGATGTACACGGTAGAGAACACACGATGGATTGTTTCTGTTTTCTGCGCAAAAATACATGACACTCACTCTGGTAATTTGTTCCTCCTCTCTCCCACCTATCAACAACCCAAAAGTCTTCTCCACCCAAAGGTGAACATTTACTCCCAGAGAAGAACTAAAAACGTGTAAAATATTCTCCTGGATTGATTTTTTCCCTTTAATTAATTACAAATCCTTTCAGATATTCAAAGAGATGGGGGTGAGCAGAGGAAAGGGAGACAGGAAGGAAGATTCTTGTATGGGAATATGGGAGAAGGCCAGAAGGGACAGCAGAGAAATGACAGGAGAAGGTCCAAATTACAGCAGAGAAATGACGGGAGAAGGTCCAAGTTACAGCAGGAACAGAGGCAGCTCATGGCACTGCCCGACAGAGGTGACACTTCACAGCACAGGGATGGGCCACATCCAGTCTGTTCAGCTACAACAAAGATGTGAAAGGGGAGAGAATGGGAGGATGGAGGTATTGCAGCAGAGGACCCAAACTAACAGAAGTCAGAAGGGAAGCAGGAAGAGGAGGAAGGCAGTTTTGCTGCTGCAGGCAGAGAGCCCTCCCATCGCATAGCCACCCGTTTGTCCAGAGGACACTGGCCCTGCAGAGAAGGAATGTATGTAAACCCAAGGGAAGAAAAATAAAATTAAGAGAAACATTGTCCTGGGCTAAACAGAAGTGAAACTATCCAAGCACCCAGCACCATAAGCATGGCCAAATCTCACCTTTAAGAGCATGTGTTTCTCACTGGGAGTGAGGTACATCTTGTTTTCATAGTAATCCACACAGATGTTGACAATATCAGCCAGCAATTCCTCATAGCCAGGGATAACCTCTAGCTGTTGGTGCAGACACTGAAACATCAACAGGGGCCACATTATCCACGTGGACAGAGGAACAGCGGGAACCAGGGGAGAAACATATTTGAAGGATTAAGAGCAGAATGATAAGAGGTTTCTTCAAACCTCTTCAAACCTTGTCTGTGTGCTTTTCTTAAATTACAGACAGCGGATTGACCTCACGGTACCACTGGTAAGGAACAACCTTTCTTCTGCAGGACAGCTCTCCCCTTCAGACTGATCACAGTGAGACGTAAAGACTCAGAAGCTGACTTTCTGACTCTCTCCTGTCTCTGCAATATTTTACCTCATTAGCAGAAGCTATAGAGCCTGTGGAGCGTGGAGGGCCCTAGGTGTGATCTGCAGTCCCCATGCAGTGGCAGAGATAGACTGGAGGGATTTACTGGGGAAAACAGGGGAAGAGTTTCTGGCAGAAACCTCTCCTGAGAGCTCTTCTTGCATCTTTTAGACCTTCATCCTTGTCTTGGCATGAAGAGACCTTCAAAGCCACCCAGGATGACCCGTGAGAAGGAGATACTGCTAGAATTATACAGCCTGACCCAAGAATCTTCAGACTCAGTGGCAATGACCCACTGTTCCCACAGTCATTGCCTTTCTCTACCCACAGAAATGTTAACTGGTTCAGAGCAAAGGGACCTGCCTGTGTGATGCGGTTGTGGTTTGCCAGGAACATGGAGAGGTTCTGGGACTCCTGGATGGACTGGGGATCTGCCATCTTCCGCAGAAACTGGGCAGCTCTGGAAGGGAGAAATCCACTGTCACCAAGGATCCCTCACCCACTGCGAGGCTCACCACCCGTTTTCCCCGTTTCCCCTGCAGCCTCAGACTGCCCTGCAGCACAGCTCTGCTCTTTTCTCTACCAAGAGGGAACTGAAACACAGCCGGCCTCAGAGATTTGCCTAAACTCACAAAGAGAGCTTACACGAGTGCAGAAACCCAGCCTCCAGCCTCCTGGTGTCCACCCGACCCACTGCTGGGCTGCCCAGGCACTCCCTCGCAGACCCCCTCCCCACTCAATCTGCTTCACCCCCTCTCACCTTTTGTAGGCAGAGTGGTCGTTTTTGACGCTGCACTTCATGTTCTTCAGCTCATCCAGGACAGCAAACATGTTAATGAACTTGCCCAGCGTGAGGAGATAAGCCTCGGAGACGAAGTCCTTCCTCCGCTCGGCATGGCACAGGCGCTTCACCTCGCTGCAGAACCGCTCGATAGCCTTGCGCTGGAAGGCAGCGGAACGGGGTCAGACCAGCAGCATCATGTGAGTCACCATGGCACCAACGGGTCCCTCCTCCACCCACCCACCTCCTCCTTCCCAGCATTTTTCTGCTGGGGATGTGGGCTCCAGGGTCCCTCTCCACTGTCACCATGAAATGATGCAGTGTGACAAACCACTACCGACAAACCTCCTCGGCACCAGAGAGGAGCTCAAACCCTCTATTTGCAGCTGCACCGAGTGCGGTGTGTTCTGTAAAATCAGGTTTCCTGAACTTCACACCTGAGGTGTGCTCATTCCCAACCAGTGCACAAGATTTGGGGCTGAACAAGGGACACACGGCACAGATTTTGCTTTGGACAGGTCTCAGCTATCTGCTGGTGACTGCAAGGAAGAGACCTACCAGTGGGCTCGGGGGCTCTCCAGGCAGGCAAGGACAGCACAGCCCTGCTTAGGATAAGTTAACACCAAAGTAATAAATTATTTTTGCCTTTCTCCTTGACCATTTACCTGAAAATACATGAACTTCATAAGCTTGGTGACTTCTGGCTCCAGGACTTCCACTGTCTTCTCATAAATCTCCACTCGGTTTGGCTGTTCATTACATTTCACCTGTGTTGCAAAGACAAATCAGCTTTGTCAGCATCAGTTTCTAACACAGCAGGGGACTGCAACGGCCACCCTCTTCTGCTTGCTTCACAGTGAATCCTGTCCCCATCTGAGGATGACAGAGGGACCCAAGAGGGAGCTTGTTCTCAAGGCAATAGGTGACAGCGGAAGGGGCTATTTCTCAGATGTGAAATTCTCTCCCTGCATTATAAACAGGCACAATCCTGATTCTGAGAAAGAAAAGTCTTCTTGTGCATTTGTCTGGGGTAGAACACACGTAATATGGAGTCTGGACTTCCTACACAATGTGGGAACGTTATATCATAAAGTTATCTGAGACTTTGTGTTGCAAAGTCCCACAGCCACACAAGGCAACAGATTACAGCTCTGCTATAGCCTCACTGGGAAAATTCTGGTTCTGTTGCTGACTGGTTAAAAATCACTGGGCTTGTATGTGGCTAGCAGCAATGAAGTGAGTCACCTTTACTGGAATCCTAGGCAGCTAAATTTAAGGACTTATTCAGTTGTCATCCATCTCATTTCCAGTTACTTGGAGTCATCACCAAACTTTTAGGGAAAACCCCAGCTGCCCAAGGCAATGCATCCTGCTGTCCTCCTCCAGTTTTGTTTCCAGTTGTTGCTGACACAAGGCTGTGATGGGGCTGACAGCTCTGGTGCAAATTTAGTAGCCCAACAGCTGATCCACAGGGTGCGAGGGGACAAATCAGCCAGCTTCACGTGAGGGGATTCCTCTCTGTAGAGTGTAACATAACGTCCCTGCCCTGGTGTTCCATGCTGCAGTCAGGCAATACTGATGGCCACGAGGATGCAGCTCATGGAAGGGAAGAGTGGTGCACACCCAGGTGTAGGCTCCATTCTTCACTTGTAAAACCACACTCCCTGATGTAGCACAGGGAGCAGCCAGGCTGGGGGGGCAGAGAATAGGACCCCCCTGGCCATAGGCACATGCCCCATGACAAAGCACAGGGGTCACTGCAAGATCAGATCTGGTGAATCCATAAAAGAAACCTCTGTGGTGGGGGTTTCTGGTCCCTCCATCACAGGCGGCACTGCCTGCAGCCCCAGGGGCAGAGAGCAGGGACCCTGCAAGCTGTGCTTGGAGAGGAACAAATGTCATGGGGTGAACAGGATGGCAGGACACTAAAACACCAGAACAGATGATCCATAGCACTATCTTGCTCAGCCACAGCCTGCCTTCTGTTAGTGCAGCCAGAAGAGGCAACAGCAGCACAGCATCAAATATAAATGGGAGATAAGCAAACATCCAATCAGTGGCAGAAATCTCCCCGTGGCTGGGTCTCATGAGACCATCAGCAGAGTATAACCCAAGGGGAACTGAGGTTTGACCTTTCCCGGGGAATCACAAACATGGGCATTGTCAGCCATGTGGAAATATTTTTTTCCTGGCTCCATGGAAGCACTGCAAAGCCTTTTATCCGTAGGGTTAATGGAAGTGCACTGCACCCGCCCCAGTGCATTGTCAGTCGCCGTTTTTGCAGTGATCCAGCACATGTTCACAGTGAGGAAGACAAGCTCCGAGCTGGAGCCTGAATCATGATCAGTGGGCCACGTGGGCAACCTTACTCATGCCTGTAGGTGTTTGCAGGATGAAGCCACCAAAATTCAGGTTGGAGAGAGAAGGACGAGAAACAGTTGAAACAGAATGAGCAGTAGAGGAGGAGGACGATTAAATGTTGGGGGGAGATCAGGACCTTCAGGTATATCAGCAGCAAAAAACGGCATTTGGGGAAATGTTTCTGGCATATCAAAGTGTTCCCTCTGCATCCTCACACACCATCTACAATTCTGGGGCTCCCACTGGAGCAGAGAGAGTACCCCAGAGTCTGGACACCAGTTTGGGAAGCCAAAACCTGCCCCAGCTGCCTAATCTGCTCTGGGCAAGTCAGGTAGAGCCCGAATCTGCCACATCTCGAGGGGACTCACTGTTTTCATCCCAGCCTGCCTGGTCCCCCTTCTTCACACAACACAAGAGTCCCACTTGGCACTGAAGCAATTTTTAACTGAAGCTAAGTTCTTGATACCATGTCATGGTATGACACCATACAGTGGTATCAGGGAAATGCGATACAAACCAGATCTGATGATTTTACTCTCACCTTCCAAAACCTAACTGCCTTTCCCTGAAGCAAACTCCATCACCCCACAACATGAGAGAGCAAAATATTCAAGCAGTGCACTGGGAAGGAAATAACCACACTGACTGAATTAAAGCAAAGGCTACCAGAGAAGTGGATAAAGACCCAAGTGACAAAACACAGCACTGTCCCAAGTACCGTGCTGGACCAGAGCTGAGTCCTGTTAGCAGCTGTAGGTCAAACAAGCTGGTCCTGTGGCGATGAAATAACTTCAGGAGTGACTGCTTTGGGGAGCAGGGGAGGGGCTCGTGAAACCAGGAAATGTCTCTAAGGCAGTTGGTGTGTGGTGAGCGTGACTGAGCTGAGAGGCACTGCTAGGAGGTGTCAGGGTGGAGCTTTCACATACATGAGGGTGCAGAGCAGATGCCCTTTGCTAGGGCAGCAGTACAGATCTGCTTTGTAAACAGCTACGAACAGCTACCAGCTGCTGAGATCAGTGGTTAAGACTTCGGTGGGGAGAGGACAATTTGAAGTGTCAGTGGTCTCTCTTTTCAACTTTTCTATCTGCTTCAGTCTTCTCTGCTTTTTTCCCTTTTGTCTCCAGTCCAAACTAACCTACACTGAAGTCAAAACCAACAAGGTGCTTTGGGAATATCCCTGCCTGGGAAGGGCTTGAGTACCTGGGGGATGGCTCGCGAGCAGCTCCTCCACGTGTAAAGCATCACAGCATACTCGTGGCCTTCCTCCAGCATTTCATTCTGAAAGACAGAGAAGCGTTGCTGGGGCGGGGCACGCGCCGAAGGCTCAGCATCACCGGGGCAGCGCCTGGGGGACTCACCATGCTGGAGTGCACCGTCGCCTGCTCGATGTACCTGGCAATGCCCGTCACAAAGGCATTTCTGTCTTCAAAGTTTGTGTCAAAATTAGCCTGTGGGTGAAATGGAGAGATGGGGATTAAAAGAGACCTAGTTGTTTGCTCGCCTGAAAGAGTCCAGCATGGGATGTGTTGGCACAAGGCAGAACCAGGAGGGCTCCTGGGGCATGGGAGCAGCTGAGATACAATTTGCGGTGCTGGGAATCACTGCACCTCTAGGAAATAGATTCATGCTTGCCGCCTGCAATGCTTCTGAATCACAAAGGTTTATTAGAGGAAATCCTGCAGATTATAAGTGTGAAAATATGGCAATCAAGACTGACAAACCCTTGTAAAATCAAGCCAAACCAGATGGGGATCAGTTACAGGGAGCTGCAGCCACACCAGAGAACAAACCTACAGCAATTATTCTAAGGGTTTTAGCTCGCTTAACTCAAAGGCAGATGCAGCCTCATTAATTTCTATTTGTGCCCTGGCTGCTAGGGGAAGACCACATCCTTTTTTGCAAAGAATAAACACACAGAAAGGGCAGGGAACGAGATGTCTGGAAAACATAAATATGAAGGTCAGCGCTCATCCAGATGCTATTATCAGCACGAGCACTGCTCTTGCAAGCAGATGCTTTGGGAGGAACAGTTCTTTTGGAAGCTGAGCTACTGCTTTGGGTCAGGACAGGGCAGCAGGAAGGGGAGAGCAAGGCAGGGGCAGCTCCTCAGCCTCTCTGTGCCGAGTGCCCGTTCACATGCTCCGCGCTCGGGTAATTCCCTCTGTGAAGGCTGGCTGATGGTATCTGAGCATACAGAAGTCGCGAGCATCCAGAGCTGCTCCTTGCAATGACATTAGCATTGCAACAGCCACGCTCACCTCAATAATTGATTTCCTGCGTAGGAAAGTCAGCAGCACAGACCCGTGGCCACAGGGCTGCTCTTCTTAGTGCCTCCAGGACATCACGTGTGACTAATGGGACAATAAAAGCTGAGGCTGCGTATGCATTTCTGGCTAGCAGGGGAGAGGGCTACTCACAAACTGAATATGATGAGGAAGCAGGCTTGGCCAATATCTCTAGATCCAGTTTAGAGGAGGTTTTCATGCCCAGCTGTGTGCACACACTCGTGTCTGTGCCATAAGCCTGGACCCTGAGCCCCTCAGAGGACACAAGCCAGCAAAGAGTAAAAATTCCTTGAAAGAAGAGATAAGCAAAAAAACTATATCAAGATTTTCCAGGGAGAGCTGAAATTTGAACAGCCCAGAAGTGCCTTTGGTTCTGATAACCTGCAGAGATACCAATGCTCCTGAACGAGCCCGTGGTCTGACCTGCTGGCAGAGATACTGTAATTTCAGACCCCCACGTACACGGCACCGCAATCACGGCGGGTGTGTATTTATACACCGCCATGGGCAAGTCACGAATTCAGGAGGGGCAGGATGGAGAAAGTAACCCCATCTTATATTTAACCCTGGGTGTGTGCTGCAGGGCAGGGTGTGGTGGCCAGGCAGCCCAGGCATGCCGCTGCGGATCCAAAAGCAGGAGTCTGAGCCCTGCCCTGGGCTCGTGCCAAGCTCTGCTTGGTCAGTGCAGCTGCAGCTAACTCTGTGGTTGTTCAAGGCAGAGAAGTGACTGTAGCGCCTGCCCTCCTTGCATGCCATCAGCTCCCCAGCCCCGCAGCTCCAGCTGTGCTAGCAGCACACGCCGGCCAAAGTCAGGCAGAACTTTGATTTTGACCTACTTAGATGCACGCACTGCCATAAAAAGGAAGCACAGAAATATGTGCATAATAAAACATCGCTGAGAACTTTCTGTTGTTATCACAAATCTTATCTCCTGGTTCTTCCCCATTCATGCACTCTGGTCTTCATTTTTTAACTTCCCTCTGTCTTGCTTAGCCTTAAAGATCCCTTTCACTACTCTCTAGTGCTGAACCCAGGATGTTTTCAGCAAGTTCTCACAGCACCATGTGCCCCTGTGCTTTGCATGAGCTCCTGGAACAGCCCCCCTGCCCCGCTGGCTCCGGGCGCTGCAGGTACCTGGTACATGATGGAGGATGGAGGCGGCTCGATGCATGGCTGCTGGTCTGGCAGAGGCAGCTCCTCCAGCAAGTCCACGTTGGACAAGGCATCTTCTAGCGTGACGTGAGTGGTCATGGCTCTGGATGTTCAGTTTCCGTGCTAAATCCAAAGGAAAAGAGACGGTGATAGATAGACAGCAGCCAGCAAACTGAGTGGGAGAGCACCAAGGACAAAACCGGAACCACGACTGCCTGGCACTGCAGGAGATACGATCCCGGTTTATCTCGTTTTCCTTTTCTTGTGTATTTAACCTACATCTCCATGTCATCTCTCTGTCTGTGATTCAGCAGCAGAGTAGGAATGCAGATCAAGAGGAACACAACTACCCACCCCTGCCCTTCTCTGCTGAACTCTATGCAAAACCGCTTCAGACAGAGCACAGCTGGGTGCTGCCGTGCAGCTCGAGCAGCATTGAGTGAAAGCGTGTGCTCTGAAATGCAAAGCAGTGCTATCAAAAATACCTCTTAAAACAGCACGATTAGAAAAAGCATGACCAATGCTGGCACTCACATGGTCTCCTTCTTACACACATTAATGGTGCTGGAAACTGTAAACAACAAATTGCATTCTCAAAGGTGAACCGAAAGGCTCGAGTGCTGCGCAGGCAGGCTGTGGCACTGCAAGCAGCTAAAAAAAAAGAAGTTGCTGTTAAAAAAAATGTTCCCTGTTTTTACCACACAGGCAGTGTCCCCTACCCAGTCCTGGCCTGCCGGGGAGCTGCCAATGGTGCTGGCTGCACAGGAAATAAAATGGAAATGGAAACATTTCTGAAAGCTCAGTGGCACTTACCCTAACGGGAACCTCAGGACAATCCTCTCTGTCCCTTATCTCCTCTTCACCTTTGCTGTAAGTGCACAAGCATGGAGGGAGGGCTGCTGTCACCCTGGCTGAGTGCTTGTATAATCACAGCCACAGGGCTTCCCCAGTTAATACCTAATCCATGTGCAATAGCTGTGGCTGAGCTAGAGTGTGCGTCTCCTAGAAAAACACCCCGCTGCATTTAAACATTTGCAGAGAGAGAACTCGTGTGAAATATTGACTTGACATTCAATTACCAAATCGCCCCCCCAAGTGCCTTTTTCCCCACTCAGAGCCTATCTAGTTTAAAATGTGAGCCACTGAGTTTTATCACTCTCATCTGCAAGACAGAAGAGCTCTGTGTTATCAAAGTTCCCCTCAAGACCCTCACACATTTCAATAGAACACCCCGCAACCTTCGCTTTGGCACAGGCAAGCGGACTGAGCTCTTTGCCTGTCTTGTTACAGAGCATAGCTTCCAATCCTTTAATCATCTCTTTGGCTTTTCTCTAAGCTTGATCCAATTTTGCAATTTTTTTTGCTGAAATGCAGACACCGTAGCAGGACACGGGGCTCCAGCGGTGTTTGCACAAGCACCAGATACAATAGCAATGCAGGCTTCCTCCTTGTGTAAAATCACACCAGTTCCTTTGGCTGCAGCAGCATCTCTATAGGCACTCATATTCAGCAGATTATCTGCTACAAATCCCTTAGGTCCTTTTTTTAAAATTGAGTCATTGTTTCCAAGAATATAAGTTTGCTTTTCGTTTCCAGCACTGGGAGCACGGAAGGACAATGGCTTCAGGATGTCCATATACAGACACCCAGGCACCCAGTAAGGACCACAGCCAAGGGGGATGTACGCTGTGTGCAGCCCTGGGGCGGTTTCACGTTGGGTGATGAGCAGGATGAGCCTGCTGCTGTGCCTGTCAGCATTGCTGCCTGCATGCATGGGCTGCAAGAGTATGTATAAGCCTGGTAAAACCCATTCCACCTCCACAAATGCCTTCCCAAGGTACCAGGCAGCTGAGAAACAGGCTTGGTTACACCTGCAGCTAAAGCACCATGAAATAAGTTCCTGGAAAAAAAAAAAAAATCTTAAGCAGCCCTTTCTCTAGATGCTCGAATTTCTGTTTCCTTCTTCACTCCTCTTTGCTGAAATGGTTTCCTGTTACAAATTATATCAACTGTCAAAAGCAGACATTATGTCCCAGCACGCTGCAGGCAGAAGCAGCTTCCTCCCTGCCTGCGAGCACCG